AAAGAGGATGAGACAGAGAGGGCCGATGGCTCCAGATATCATTCCGCCTCAATCATCGTCTTTATCAAATTGTGCGCCGCCCAGCCTCTACGGCGAACGTTAAAGACTCCGTGGCGTTGCTCTTAAGAGCGCTGCTCACGGCTGATTGACATTAATTAAAGTAACGCTCTTCTCACCACCGGCACATCGGTGCTGTCAGCTGCCTGCCCTCGTTCAAGCCCAGACCCCAAGACCTTCCTGGATTGGTATAATAAATTATAATACATGATAATAGCGTCGTTAAAGCGGGGTGCAATAGCATAGCGAACAATAGAAATAGCGAATGTCGTCTTGGGGGAGACACGAAGGTGCGACACAGCATGGGGATGGAGAGGAAGCGCGTGAATCACCTCGACGGTGGATTCGGCGCATGATTCATCCGCGCAGCACCCAACCGGTGGCACCGACCAAATCCCCTCGACGCGTCGCTCAGCCCTTGCGAGCTGCCTCGAGGCAGCCCTTGCGAGCTGCCTCGAGGCAGCTGGTGGAAGAGCTGACGACGATCTCGCCTCCCCCCATCCGCCCAAAAAAGAATCTGACTAAAAAAGGGACATTTGCCAAAGCACACGCGAGTCGCGGTCACTGAGCCTCTCCCTGTCTCTCTCTCCCTCTCGCGCTCTCTCCCCAGAGCCTCACCTGGTTAAATAAAGGAGGCTGCCAGTGGAGCGGAGCTCACAAAGCCGCGGCCGCGCGGCCACGGTAATTGATGGCGCGCAGTGCCGCGCGCGCCCGCGACCTTTAGAGAAAAGCGACAACAGCGATTTATATTTATATGGAGTGGGGGGGGGGGGCATTGTGGGGGGCCTGTTTGATTGGAGTATGTGTTGGGGAGTATATGGTGGTGTAGGATGTTTTTTTTATTGAGGGCTGTGATGGAGGTATGCGTTGGTGGTTTATTGTGGGGGGTATGCGATGGCGGGGAGCGTGTGTGTGATGGAGTCGTGCTGTGATGGCGAAGTATGTCTGTGGGAGTGTGCAGTGGTGATGGTGTCCTCTGACGGGGTTGTGTGACGTGGAATGTACGTATGCGATGCGTAATACACGATGGATGAATGTGATTCAGTATATGACGGCATGTGATGGATGAATGGCGTGGGGTGGATATAATATGACGTGATGGCGGTCTATGATGCGAGTATTTGATTGAGTATGTCAGAGGCCATTATGCGATGGGGTGGGGGGGAATTCCTTTGCGCACCTGGGGACATTAAGCACACTCCGCACACACACAGCACACTGCACACACCACACACCACACACACCGCACACACACCCCAGACACCACACACACCGCTCACACCACACACAGCACACAGCACACACAGCACACACAGCACACACCACACACACCGCACACACCGCACACACCACACACACCACACACACCACACACAGCACACACCACACACACCGCACACACCACACACACCACACACACCACACACACCACACACCGCACACACACCACACACCCCCGAAACCACACACACCACACACACCACACGCACTGCACGCACCAGACACACCACACACACACCACACACCACACACACCACACACACCGCACACACCACACCGCACACCGCACACACCTCACACCGCACACCGCACCCACCTCACACCGCACCCACCTCACACCGCACCCACCTCACACCGCACACACCACACACACCACACACACCGCATACACCACACACCACACACACCGCACACACCACACACACAACACACCACACAACACACCACACACACACCACACACAGACCCCACACACACACACACCACACACACCACACATACCGCACGCCACACGCACCGCATACCACACGCACACCGTACCGCACACACCGCACACACCACGCACACTGCACACACTGCACCCCGCACACACCGCACGCGCACAGTTCACGGTGATGCCAGGGCGAGACGCGGCACTTGGCAACGCGAATCGGCCCCCCGCCCCAACCCCCCTCCCCCCCCTATCGCCGTTACCGCGGCCGGGAGCCGGGCGCGCGTGCCCCGCGGTAACGCAAACACCGCGCAGCCGCCGCCGCTGCTGCCGCTGCTGCTGCTGCATTCATCTCGCGGGAGCGCGGGGCGGAATGCGCCGCGGTGACGACTTAACGAGGGCGAGGGAGGGGGCATGGGGGGGAGAAGACGGGGGGGGGGATTTCGAATGAGGACCTGGGAGTGATGGGGGGGGGGGTCTGTGGCTGCGTACGGTGCGAAACAAGTCCGACACACATACTTACATGTGCAGCACGTGGTGGTTGGTTAGGGGAGGTGTTGAGAGGTGAATCTGGTGTTAAAGGGAGGTGATTGGTAGTGGTGGTGTTGGGGTTAGTGGTACAGTATTTGTCCCAAAAGTTTGTTAAGGCTCTTCGTGATGAAGGCGGTGTTACTCGTGTTCGTAGTGGCGGTGAGTGGTCTTGTGTCAATGGTGCGGGTGGTAGTGCTGTTCGCGTTAAAGGCGGTCGTGGTGATCGTGGTCGTGTTGTCAAAGTGTTTAAGCAGTATTTATCGGAGGCACGGAATATGCCTATAGCATCGCATATCATCCTCACACCTCCCTCAAATACCAACATCAAATACCACCATCACGTGCCTCCCATCACATGCTCTCGTCTGTCTCAGCACAGTGGTGGTGTTAGTGTGGTCGGCAGTTCGACTGCTTGTTGCTGTACTCGTAGTGATGGTGGCATTGTTAGCGGTGCTGTTAGTGGTGCAGTTAGCGTGAGTGAGTGATGTTGTTGGTGACGTCGCGGTGTTTGAGTGGTGAAGGAGGGGTCCCTTGCCTCACTCCTGGACCCTTCAGGGGTTTGTGTTTCACCGCGGCCACCCTTGGCTGCGCCTCGCCTCCCCCCGTCTCCCCCGTCTCCTCCCCGCGTCTCCCCTCGCTCCATCTCCTCTCGCTCTGGCCGGACGAGGAATGTCCTTTTCTCGCCTCGCGTTTCACAGACGGGAATGCGGGGGCTGCCCCCGTCCCCCCCGCCTCCCCAGACCCCCTTGAGAGCGGTGCCTCATCCCCTTCTCGAGACCCGGGGTGCGTGAGCCGCCGTCCGCGTGGCTCCTCAATACGGGAGTTGCTGCTGCTGCTATTGGTTTTATTGTCGCGTAGTTGATGTCTGGTTGCTGTTATTGTGACTGTATCGTTCGCTGGTTGACGTCGTTGTAAATAATATGAAGGCGCAGCCCTGCAGTTGCTCGCTCACGCCACTGCTGGCGGAATGGCGCGGAGCGAGCATCAGAGAGCCCCTCTCGAGGACGACTGCTTGTGGCCTTCTCCTCCACGCCCGCCAGACGTCTTGGAAGAGGCAGGCCGTGAGAGGTGACCACGGCTTGGGGAAGTCTTCGTCCAGCAGTGGATCGACCACAACCGATGATGATATTCTATCATCATCAACCTTTATGAAACCACTGCTGGATGAAGGCTTTCTCAGGCTGCCACCATCTCTCGCGATCTGGCGATGTAATCTACCTATGGCGCCTGCGCACGGGTTGATCTTATCGCTCAGTCTCCTCGGTGGAGGTCCTCAGACTCGTTCCACTCCTTGGTTGCCACTCCATGTTCAGTCTTGAGCACGGGCCGTCGTCTCGCCGTGTGGATGTGTAAAGCCTCACTCGAACTCCTTGGCGGTTCGAACGCTGCCATTGAACTTCCTTCGTCTGGCCTCTGATCCACATCCCTCTGCTCTCTCTTAATTGGTACTGCTAATTTTGCCTCGTGTTAATTTGTAATCTCTTGTGCTGTGTTCTGTTAATTTGTGCTGTGTGTAACCCACACTCCTGGGTCGTTCTCTTGTAACCGTCTGCCATTCTCTCAGTGTCCCGGCCTCTGCCCCCAATCATCTCCAAAAATTTAAAAGTTATTTTGAATCTCCCATGTAATTCTCACACTTCGCCTCTCGTCCCGTCAACTCCACTGGCTTGCCGTTAACTCTCCCGCTGTCTGCTAGAATACCTTTACACTCGTCTTGACATCTCTCCATGGCCTCGCTCCACCTGAACTCGCATCTCTCGTCTCTCTCTGTCTGTCTCTCCTCCTCCTCCCTGTGCCCAATTCCGTGTTCGGGTCTTCTTCCTCCTTGCACCCTCCACCGGCGTAACCTTCCCCTCCACATCAAGCAGCCCCCCCTCCTCAACCTCCTTCCGTTCCTCTGCTAAAGCCTCACCTCTTATCCATGGCCCATTATTTTCCTCTTCCCTCCCCTCGCCACTACTTCCCGTGCCTCCCCTACTCTTTCGTGATCCCTGGGTGACCTCTATCACTGTCACTCATTCCTCAATACCTTGCACGCCCCTGTCAACTAAACCATTCTGTCATCGTTGTGTACGCTATATACATTAGATTGGATTAATGTCCTCGTTATACGGCACAGACCACGTCAATGCAGGCGCTCTACACACTCACGCATCTCTCCCCATGATGTTTGCGCACTCGACGTGGTCCGCTCGGTGCCTTTTCGGTAGCGGCCGTGATTCTGAGCCCAAGTGACACGGCAGCTTTGTGCACTCGTTCACACCTCTCTGCTAGAGGCCACATCGCTGGTACTTTGAGCGTCACCACGTTCAGCTTTACAAAGACACGGAGACCTCCTCTCATCCTTCTCCTTGTCATCTCTTTCACCCCGGTGCGCCCGCAATCTGACCTCGGGGACGCGCGCGTTCCCTGCATCCCGTGCCCGCCGACAGACGCGCCGCTGCCCTCTGCTGGAAGCCGATAGGACAGCACCTGGGGTAGGGTGGTCTCACACCCAGGCACTATCCCGGCTCGATTCTGCTTAGCTTACAAAATGCGGGTGATTTGGACAGAGCGCCCCGATCACCGTGCATCCGATCCTGGTTGTGTCCGCGGCCCCGAGGTCTCGGGGTCTCGAGGTCTCGGGGTCCCGGGGCGCTGCGGAGTCGTGGCGCCCCCTCGTGGTAGAGAACGACTCGAGTCGCGGGTGACCCGCCTGGAGTTGGGAGCAGCAATTTTATTACAGCGGAGCGTGCAACCAAGCACACAAACACACGCGCCGTGTACACATAGCAGCCGTCATTTACCCACTCAGTGGCGGTCACGTTACCACGACGATTGTGCCAGGATAGGTGCACGTCGAGGCGATCACGTGACGTGTGGGAGGCTCTCGCTGCTGGCAGGGAGAGACCCAGCCAGGTGCGCGGCACGGGCCGACTGACCGAGATGGCTGGCAGATGCACCTCCTGTGCTGCCCACTGTGCTGTGCTTGCACTTATTCATTCATACTAAAGACAAAGACACCCCCCCCCCCTCATCATAGCCTTTACCAGACTGTTGGGGCAAGAGCCGTGCTGTTAGCGAGCACCTATAAGGGGCCGCAACGACGCCACGAGGGGGTGGAGTTGCCAGCGCCACGTCCGACCGTCTTTGTCTCCCCAGTGCTGATGTTCACACACCGCACCAGGCACTGATATCGGTCCACCTCGTTTTGAGGCCCAGGACATGTTCGGATATTCGTCACCAATTTTGGCTGCGAGCAGAATTCGAACTCAAGTCGCCATGTTCGCAGCACATTGCGCTAACCACTGCGCCACCGCTCCCCCCACACATACACACACAGTGCAGTCTCTACCCACGTACGGGGCCCACCCCCAGTTTGTTGAGGACCCCCCTCACATTGTCTCTCCCCGTGTCTCCCTCCTCGTCAGCATCACGTGTCTGTCTCGCCGTCTGTCTCGCCGCGACCTTCAGTCACCTGCCGCGGTCTCTTCTCTCGAACACGAAGCGGTGTGCCGCTGTTTACTGGAAGCGTTTTCGCCTAACGATCTAACGCCGAGAGCAGCACGAGAATACAACTTGCACGGGATAATGAGAGAAAGCTAAAAAGAACCACGTGAATATTAAAACTAGACCCGCGAGAAGCCAGTGGGGGGCAGCACCACGTGATGGGGGCAGCACCACGTGGTGGGTGACGTGGTGGGGGGCAGCACCACGTGGTGGGTGACGTGGTGGGGGGCAGCACCGCGTGGTGGGTGACGTGGTGGGGGGCAGCACCACGTGGTGGGTGACGTGGTGGGGGGCAGCACCGCGTGGTGGGGGGGGGGGGTCGAGATGCGAGGAGGCGACCCGGGATGTGGAGATCGCTTGAGAGTCGAGGGCAGTCGGAGGGTCAGGGGTGGGGGCAGCAATTGAGGGGGGTGGGGGCAGCAATTGAGGGGGGAGGGCGAGGGGATTCCCATCCCCTCCCCCCGCCACCCGCTATCGCCCACCCCCTAACTGCGCACGTGTACTTCATGTGTATACGTGCAGGTATACGTGGATCCATGTGTGCATGTATTTCTCACTTGTGTGCATGCGCCTCTATTGTCTGTGTATATGTGCATCTCTATGTGCATCTACGTGTGTACACATATCTACGTGTGTGTGTACACAGGTGTGTGTGTCTACCTGTGTGTGCGTGCCTGTGCTCAGCGCACCACGGCAGCACGATGCGCAACGCGCGGGTTTAGCTAGCGGGGGAGGAGGAGGCGGGGGGGGGTGTTGATCCCCCGTGCATAGCTACCGCCTGTGCACCCCGCACACCACGTGTGCCCCCCGCTGCTCCAGGCCGCGCCCGTGGCGGCCCCGCACTGGCCACGGTGAGCCCCGGCGCGGGGCTGGACCCCAGCCCCCACCCTCCACCCGGATCGTCTTTGCCCCCACCCACCACCCCGGGGCTGAACGAGGACACCCCCCGCGCCCCTCCCTGGCTCAGGGTCCATCTGGGCCCAGCCCTGGGCGTGCGCAGTCCGCACCGGAGCCGAGCGGCCCGGGCCGCGGGGCGAACTCTGGCCCCTCGGCATCGCGCGGTGGGGTTCGCTCCGGGGGGGGGGGGGGGGGGGGGGCCTCGCACACCCCCGCTCCCCCCTCGCCCAGGGTCGAGGTGAAACCGCGGACTGTGGAGTCCCAGGGAGACCCCCCTTAGACGTGGGTGACCCCCGTGAGCGGGGTGCTGTGGTCGATCGCTAGCCTGGACGCCACCGCCACCCTCGCCCTAAGGCACCCACCTCGGTGCCCACGTTCGAACGGCGTTGACACGTCTGCGCGCAGCGACTCGGGAGGTGAGTCTCTCTCGTGGTGCTTGCAGTTTTGTGTTTAGTCGCCCCACGCGTGCCATCAACTCGGCTCATCGCTCCTCTGCCACCAGAATCGAACTGGCGGCAGCGGCGATGTTTATCGCCCGTGAACGCCCACGCGCTGTGGAGCAGACAAACGGCGACGAGAGTTCTGTCCCCAAGTGCGGGTTAGGGGTCGGGTTAGGGTGAGAGGAACGGCTGAAGGGCAATCGATAGGTCGGGTAGAGGTCGGTGGGGACGGAGCGAGTGATTGGCTATTGCGGCTCAGGTCAGGTTTACTGGGAGGGCAAGTGCCAGTGGCCGCTCGGCTGTCGTTGGCGTGCGTGAGGTGGAGAGCCGGACTCGGGGCTGGCGAGTCAGGCTTGAGCGCTAGGGGGTTGGCTATAGGGGGCTGGTGCGAGTGAATGGGAGGTTCGGGGTAGGGTTCACGTCTTCAGCGCCAATACCGCTCGCCCCGTCCCCCTTCTCCCCATGCCGGTGTTTAAAGCGCGTGCGTGCGTTGGAGGGGGGAGTTGGGGGGGGAGAGACAAAAACGGGCGGGCGGACATTTGGGCGGAGGCAGCGGGTTCGAGCGCAGGCGACGAGCGTCCCGGTCGCGGGGGTCACTCGAATGCGCGTCTCACGGCGAGAATGAGCCCCACGATGACGGCCACGGCGGCCACGGCGGCGCCGCCGTACAGCAGGAAGTTGCTCTCGGCCGCGTGCGGCGACGGCGCGGCGCCCTCCGCCTTGGCTCTGGCTCCAGGCTCCGGCCCGGCTCCAGGCTCCGGCCTGGAACCTGGCACAGGCTCCACCGCCGGCCGAGGCTTCACCTCCTCCGCTGCCAGAGAGAACTCGGCTTCCGAAGATTTAAACTCGGACAGAGGCGCAAATCCTGGCTTGGGCTTAACCTCTGGTACAGGTTTAACTTCTGGGACTGGTTTAACCTCTGGAACTGGTTTAACCTCTGGTACTGGTTTAACCTCTTGCACTGGCTTTACCACTGGAACTGGCTTAACCTCTGGTACTGGTTTAACCTCCGGTACTGGCTTAACCTCTGGTACTGGTTTAACCTCTGGTGCTGGTTTAATTTCTGGAATTGGCTTGACCACTGGTACTGGTTTAACCTCTGGTACTGGTTTAATTTCTGGAATTGGCTTAACCACTGGCGCTGGTTTAACTTCCGGGATTGGTTTAACCTCTGTTTTCGGTTTAACCTCTGGCACTGGTTTAATTTCTGGAACTGGTTTAACCTCCGGTACTGGCTTAACAACTGGCACTGGTTTAACCTCTGGTGCTGGCTTAACCTCTGGGACTGGTTTAACCTCCTCCTCCTCCTCCTGCTCATCATCCGGAAGTGGGACCACGTTGATTCTCTTCATCATCTCCTGGACCTGGGCGAGTCTGTTGAGCTCCTTGCTCAGGTCGAGCCCGCCGAAGGGGACCTGCCCGCTCTCCATCCACTGCGTGTGCACCATCCCCGGGGTCGCCCCCAGCTCCGCCGCTCCCAGCGCCGACACGGGCGCCTCCTCTGCGCGAAACGAGACAGGGCCCACGGCGCCACGGCCCGGGTCAGGGCCACCAAATCCGACCAACCTCGGCGCCGTTTCACGGCCAAAGCACACCGTGCGCGACGCATCCGTACACGACCTGTCGCGTTTTTTACACTGGTTGCGCCGTGCCGATGCATGACCTTGCGAGTTAAAATTGTTTTGCCGCGTGTTTTGCTGTAACCGGGGAACGCAGTGGCCTCGGCCTTGGATAGATTTGGACAACGCGGTCAACATCCGCAACATGCCTCCATTGCTTGGAGGCAATGGAGGCATGTTGGGTGGCCGGTACGGCCGCGGGGTTCCTCCGACAGGCTCACGTGGCGCGGGCGCTACTCCCCGTGTAGACGCCTGCCACTGGCACACTCGGCATCCACGGCGGGAGCGGCGTCGGTCCAGTTTGAACGCTCTCGTTATGAAGCCGCGTTTTAGACTCGCCCGCTCAGCCATCGACTCCACTCACCCACTCGTTCACCCACTCAGCCACCCACTCGCTCGCCCGCTTACTCGTCCACGTGTACACTCCAAACCGCGTCGTGTCTGAACACAAGTCTACAGGTGCTGCACCAGTCTTGAGGGTGTACTGCAAGCTGGCCTCAATGTGTGTGGTAAGCTGTGCCTACTCCGTCCACACAAGGTCTCCCAGTCACAAGCCGCCTTGCTCCACGGGTGCAACTGCACAGCGCTGCAGAAGCAGCAGCACACACACACACAGCTGTCTTCACACACACACACACACTCACCTGCCTCCACACACACTCACTCACCTGCCTCCACACACACACACACCTGCCTCCACAACCACTCACCTGCCTCCACACACACACACTCACCTGCCTACACACACACACACATACACCTGCCTCTACACACACACCTGCCTCCACACACACTCACTCACCTGCCTCCACACTCACCTGCCTCCACACACACACACCTGCCTCTACACACACACACACACCTGCCTCTACACACACACCTGCCTCCACACACACACACACCTGCCTCCACACACACACACACACCTGCCTCCACACACACACACACCTGCCTCTACACACACTCACCTGCCTCCACACACTCACTCACCTGCCTCCACACACACACACCTGCCTCCACACACAGACACACACCTGCCTCTACACACACACACACACACCTGCCTCTACACACACACACACACACACCTGCCTCTACACACACTCACCTGCCTCCACACACTCACTCACCTGCCTCCACACACAGGCACACACCTGCCTCTACACACACACACACACCTGCCTCCACACACACACACCTGTCTCCAAACACACACACCTGTCTCCGTGCCATCGCTGAGCTCCTCCGTCTCCACGTGGACGATGTCGGAGTTGGAAGACGAGTGGTCGCTCGGCTCCACCCCCACATCGCTCAGCTGCTGCCACGACTCCTGGGGGTCCATGGACGATGGGGGGCCCTGCCAGGAGCCGGGGCCCCCCAAGGGCAGGGGGGATGCGAAGCCCCCTTCGTGGAGGCTGCCGTGTCCCGTCGCCGTGGCGACCGGGAGATCGGGTTCGCACAGCGGTGACGGGTCTCCCTCAGAGGCGGGGGTTTCCATGGCAACAGAGATGCTCGGCGGCACGCGCTCTCGCTTGGTGACGTCACCAGGTGAGTTCAGCACCTGGGAGAGAGGTCACGACGGATGTGAAGCCACCGTGGTGTGAATTTGTCCTTTGGTAATTGGTGGCGCAGCAGTAACACTGGCACCTCGCAGCCAGAAGCCCCTGGGTTCGGGCGGTCGCCTTTCTGTGTGGAGTTTCCAAGTTCTGCCCCATGTCCTACACAATGCGAGTGTGAGAATGTGAGAGTGTGGAGTTTGTATGGGGAGTCGCAGAGGTGGGACAAAGTCATTGTTATGCAAGTCCAAGTCGAGTCTGAAGTCATCAAATTCATGACTCGAGTCTGACTCGAGTCCAAGTCACATGACTCGAGTCCACACCTCAGAGGTGGGACAAAGTCATTGTTATGCAAGTCCAAGTCGAGTCTGAAGTCATCAAATTCATGACTCGAGTCTGACTCGAGTCCAAGTCACATGACTCGAGTCCACACCTCTGGGGAGTGGTACTGCAGCAGTTAGCGTTGCACTGCGCTATGAACCCGGCCACCTGAGTTCGATTCCCGCTCGCGACCCAATATTCGTGATGAATATCTGAACTGGTCCTGGGCTTTCCCTAGGTCGACTCGGCCTTAAAATCAGTACCTGGTAGTGGCGTGTAAACATCAGCACTTATCTCAATTGTTTGTTGAAGGCTACGTGGGGCATCTTTATCTTTGGAGTTTGTATGTTCTCCCTCTGTTCTGCGTGGGTTTCCCCCGCTGTCCTTCCATACAATGCAACTAGCCTGGGCCAAACAACTCAATCAATCTCACGCTGGCCCTCCTCTCCCAGAGAGAGCTTCTCTGTCTGTTGTGAGGACGGCCGAGGTTGTTCACACGGCCCGGCCTTAGCCGGCTGGCGTAAGGTTACTGCGCTGCTGCACGTGGCCCGGCAGTGTTGGAGGCAGCAGTGAGAGTTGGTGGAGGCAGCAGTGAGAGTTGGTGGAGGCAGCAGTGAGAGTTGGTGGAGGCAGCAGTGAGAGTTGGTGGAGGCAGCAGTGAGAGTTGGTGGAGGCAGCAGTGAGAGTTGTTGGAGGCAGCAGTGAGAGTTGGTGGAGGCAGCAGTGAGAGTTGGTGGATCGTCGAGCAGGAGCCGTACCCTGGCTCGCCAGGAGAATGCAGCAGAGCAAGTGGACTCATCGTCATCTATTTACATCTGCACCGGGATAGCGTGTTGCCCCCTCGCACAAACAAACAAAACAAACAAACAATACAAACAAACAAAACAAACAATACAAACAAACAATACAAACGAGACAGAGCGCAGGGAGAGTGACTTGACCAGCAAGACCAAGGACAGTCGCCATCTGCCTGTACGCTCCCACGCCCGTGCTCTCCACCTAGACCAACCCGCACTGACCACCGCGGTGAAGTATGGTCGATGAACCGCCACGACCCGCACGGCACTGGGAGGCCCTGATCCAGCAGTGGAGTCACAGAGACGCTGCGCGCGGACACGACCCCCCCACCCCCCAGCCCCCTCCCCCCACCCCCCAGCCCCACCTCCCTCCCCCGACACCCCCCACCCCCCTCCCTAACTCCCCCGCGCCTCCATTTGGGACTGCGTCGCGTGGCCGGCCTGGCGGCTCACGGACAAACAGACTGGCGGCTTCGGGTCTGAACCCTGGCGAGGAAGGTCGGGCGCAGAAGGGATCGTGACTGGGGGACTCCTTTAGCTGCTCCCTGAGCACAGATTAGTTAAACACCCTCGCGAACGACCGTGGTCGTTCTGTGGATATCCCCGGCACCGCCATAGGAATGTGGTATTTCCAGTAAACAGTAGATGAGCACCCGTGACTGACTCATTAGCGCAGGTCGATGAGTCCACGTGGTTGCGGCTTGAGGTCTCACAGGGCAGAGACCTCGCTTCAGAGCCTCGGGGACGGTTACCCTGCGTCTACATAACCACCGCGTCCCAACAGCCTGCACGGAACACCCAATTCAGACTCCAAGCTCGGCTACGACTGCAGAGTTGAGACTTGAGGCTAGAGTTAGACTGCAGAGTTGAGACTTGAGGCTAGAGTTAGACTGCAGAGTTGAGACTTGAGGCTAGAGTTAGACTGCAGAGTTGAGACTTGAGGCTAGAGTTAGACTGCAGAGTTGAGACTTGAGGCAAGAGTTAGACTGCAGAGTTGAGACTTGAGGCTAGAGTTAGACTGCAGAGTTGAGACTTGAGGCTAGAGTTAGACTGCAGAGTTGCGACTTGAGGCTAGAGTTAGACTGCAGAGTTGCGACTTGAGGCTAGAGTTAGACTGCAGAGTTGCGACTTGAGGCTAGAGTTAGACTGCAGAGTTGAGACTTGAGGCTAGAGTTAGACTGCAGAGTTGCGACTTGAGGCTAGAGTTAGACTGCAGAGTTGAGACTTGAGGCTAGAGTTAGACTGCAGAGTTGAGACTTGAGGCTAGAGTTAGACTGCAGAGTTGCGACTTGAGGCTAGAGTTAGACTGCAGAGTTGAGACTTGAGGCTAGAGTTAGACTGCAGAGTTGAGACTTGAGGCTAGAGTTAGACTGCAGAGTTGAGACTTGAGGCTAGAGTTAGACTGCAGAGTGCGGGTTGGAGAACCCCCATTTACCGAGGGCCGAATATTAGTGTCAAATAAACTTGGCGGGCAGCCACAAGGTGAACTCACACATTTCAGTCTGTTCTGGCACTGTAAGCAAGGCGCCCTTGGTCGTGACGGATGTGAGTGAATGTGCGCAGTGCTAAAATTGGACACGAATTGCTGCCGGATCGATGATTTCAGCGGCGCCCCTCTAGCAGCCGATCAGTGCTGCTAGGATTCCTCGCGCAGTGGCAGAGAAACGCGGTTGGCGGTGCGGCGCTCAAAAAACAACAAAACACCCAGGGCCCCCCCCCGCACTGTCCTCAACCCCACCAATCCTGCTCAACAGAGCCCCCCCCCCGCCCTCCTGGGCGTGGTGATATCGCCGCGTCTCTCCGCGCCATCAGCCATCGGCTCATTCACGCGTTCACTCGGGACGAGCGGCGCGGGGTGGGGGAGACAAATGGGGGGTGGGGGATGGAGGCGGAGCGGGGTGGAGCGGAGAACGGTCGTGCCAGGCAAGTTCGCCCACGGTGACATCACGATCATTATCAGCGGCTTCATAGAATCATCACTCAACATCAGCACCGACAACTCTTTCATAATCACTAATAGCAGACCGTCATCGTCTGCACCATCATCACCAGCATCATCAGCAGCACCACCGACAACACCGTGATCGTTGAAGCGATACCAAAGAGTATCAATACCAATGGACCGACAATCCAAGGCGAATTTAAGTCTCCCCGCGCCGCGACTTCCATGGGATTAGTTTGACCATCACCACCACGTTGGTCAGTGCCAGATGGTAGAGGCAGGGGAGGGTGGGGGGAGTGGTTCAGCTCCAGTTCAGATAACCCTCGCCACTGATGTTGGCCGTGATCGGGAATCGAACCAAGTCGCTGGATTCATAGCGCAGTGCGCTAACGACTTTGCCACCGCTCCCCAAATAATCATCATCACTCTCATAATCCTTCTCACCATCATAATCAGACATATCATCATCAGCAGCAGCACATTCAATGGATCACATCATCACCATCACCGCCCCACGTGTCGCGCTGCTATTTATATCCCCCGATCCCCACTCCTCTCGGATTCGCGGGGCTCACGGAGTCCGTTTCCTTATTCGGCCCAGATCGTCAGGGCCCTGGGCTCCTCGTAGCGATTATTCGATGATGTGTCTGGTCGCTCGAGGCTCGAATAGCACCAGAGGACAGAGTTATGGGCAGTCCGGGTCAGCAGCAGCAGGGAGGGATTAGTTCGAGTCGGGGCGAGGTGGCTTACGAGTGTGAGTCAGAGTTTGTATCGGGAGGAGGGTGGTCACAATCGGGGTTAGAATTGAGCCAGGGTCATGGTCGGGGTTACTGAGTTTCGGGTCGGGATAAGAATATGATCGTGGAGGATTGGGGTCAAGGTCAGGGTTGTGGTCAAGGTCAAACCAATAACCAGCACCAAGAGTCGTGGAGTATCACTGAACCCCCGTGCCGAGCTCGTCAACCTTCCCCTGACGGGGGCGATTCCGTCTCGAGCACTCCGCCGTGGACTTCCATCGCCAAGCGGCGCCGAGTCGGCCCCCAACGCGCCGCGCGGCCTCGTTTGGGCGCACGAGAGGCGAGGCGACGGACCGCCCCGCCCCGCCCGCCACCCTCGATTCTCGCCCCCCAACCACCCCGCCCCGCCCCTCGCTCTCCCGGGTGCGGGTCTCCTGCTCGTCCCATGAGCTGCACGCGATGGGACTCCATGGCGACCCCTGTTGACCCACGTATCGTCCCCCCACCCCCAGCCGGTATCGATTAAGAGCGACGCCGCGTCTCACCCCACCCGGCCGCATTCCCCCCTACACCCCCTCCCCCTTCCACCCCTCGCCCCCCACCGCGGCGCGGAATTTGCGCCCGGGCCCCCGACGCAGCTGCCAAGTTGGGCGCAACTCCCGCAGGAGGTTCCAGCCGCCTCCGCGCTCGACACATTCCTGCCCACGTCTCCACCCCGCGTCTCCACCCCGCCACCGCGATATGAAACTCAGTCATTAATAATAATTAATAATAGAATCAACGCCACATACATCTACGATGGCCTCCACGAGTCTTCTCCAGACTATTTTTTTGCAGGATCATGCGACATTGCTATGTTTGACAAACGCCATTCATCATTGCCTGGCACGTAGAAGTAAAACCGGAGGAGGGGGTGGTGACGCTCGAAGCTCCGCACAGATAGGTTTAAGAATCCATCGCCGCCTTTCATCTCGTAGCCACCTCGCAGAAACGCGTTGGTTGAAACTCTGTACGGGCAGGCGCGGAGTGGAGCTCGAATGCCAACAAGGCGACGTCTCCTCTCCAGCGGGTCAGCGGAGAGGGCCGCGATGTCTGAATGAGGCCACCACCTCAGGCCGCGTGCCCTCGGGGGTTCAGTCCGGCCCAGTCCCGCATCGCGAGGGTCCCCGCGTGCCCTCTGCCGCCAAGCGCGGCCCCGCATCACGGCCTCTCCCTGCGCTCCCACGCGCTCCCACGCCCTGCCCCTCTCTCTCCCCTGATGCCACCGCCCTGCCCTCTCTCCCCACTCTTCAGCAGCGCGCCCCGTTGCCGCTGCAGCAGGCGGAGTCGCATGACTTTGCGCAAAGACCCCAAATAACCCTGGGGCCTACCGCGGGGCCGAACCCCCGTGACGGACCCCGCGCGGACCCCTGGGCCGCCGCGGTCGAAACTTTGAGTGACGCAGTAAGCGCGTTCAGCTAGCGGGGTCCCCTGGATCGCGCGGAACGGTGAGAGTTCAGATTTAGGGGGTGGGGGGGTCCATCTCGGAGACGCTCGGAAGGGGGGTCAGGAGGAGAGGGGAGCGCTCACCTGGAGGGTGGGTAGATGTGCGATGCGGCTGGGCGCTGCGGGGCGGCTGGGCGCTGTGCGTGCGGCGAACGTCTCCGTCTCCTCCGCCGAGTGGGGGCGGTGATGTCAGCAGAGGGGGGGGTGGGCACGCGGGCCGTGCGCTCCGCGTCACGCGCACGTGCGCGCTCACTCTCACGCACAGCACAAGACAAAGATGTCCCGTATAGTCTTGAACAGACTGGGGCAAGAGCCGCGTAGTGAGCAACCTCGCTAACCGCTACATTACCGCTCTCACAAACTCATGCACACTCGCTGTCGGCAACTTTCACGCACGCAAGCGCTGTTACGCACGCACTCTCACACCCGCACACACGCGTGCGTACTTTTACGCACACTCACACGCAAGTGTCCACGGCACCCATTGTCACGCACACTCATGCGCACACTACTGCGGGGTCTGGCATAAGGAAGGGAGCGATGGCGATAGATGTGTGGTGGCGGCATCAACGACATTGCCCCCATGACTGCTTTAACTCGAGTGGATCCTCAGCTGAGGGGCACACGGAGGGGTGGGGGTGCGAGGATTGATTGCCATTTAGGGAGCCATCGGCCCCCAAACCCGCCAGAATCGCCACTGCGCTCTCGCACCCGCCACCCGCTCCACCACCGCTCCCCACGAACGCCAACACACACTCGCAGTCAGCCGTGCGGGGCCTATGCGTGACAGAGTGAGGAGCTTTCTCTGGCTGCATCCAGAGGGGGTGCTAAATGATCTTAGGGGGGCGGTGGGTTGATTGTAAAGTCTAATTGGGGGGGGGCGGGGGGGGGTAGGCGGCCGCGGGGGCCCAGGAAGGGAGGAGTCTGGTTGGGTGTGAGCGATAAGCGAAGGCTGGAGGAGGAGGGGGCTGGCTGGTCTATGGCTCTGCGCGTTCCTGAGCGCAGTCGTCATACACAGGGGAGTGGTGCGCATGTGTTCCTTCCCCCGTTGTTGTAGTGGCACGGTCCAGGCTTCCTGTAGCGATGCCTGGCTCGCGGGGGGTTTGGTTGTACCACTGCCACGCGGGGGGTGCCGGAGGTTGTGCGCGAGCAGCGTGTGGCCACGTGTCGCGCGGGATCCCTGCTGTGTGTGCGCACTATATGGGGAGCGGTGGCACAGCGGTTAGCGCGCTGCGCTACGAACCCGGCCAACCGAGTTTGATTCCCGCTCACGGCCAACACCTCGTGACAATTATTTTAACCGGTCATGGGCCTCCGCTAGGTCGACTCAGCCTAGAATGAGAACATGGTGCGATGTGTAAGCATCGCCACCTCCCTCCCCCTTCGTGTGCCGATCCAGCCGTCATAGTTGCTCGCTATCAGCACTTGTCCCAATAATCTGTATTTGCGTACAATGCACGTGTCATTGTCAATCCGCTGCTGTATGAAGGCGCTCCAAGTCGCTAGTGATCTCCACCTAGCATCTTGCACACGAGCTAATGTCGTCGCTTCACCTGAATGTGTGCTTGTCACACGGAACGTCTCATTTGTCCAGTTACCCGGATAGTCTGCAAGATAGATCCGTGGATACATCGGAACAAGAACAACAACACGATGGAAGTAATCCGCTCGGAGGAGCAGCAACATCGGAACAGAGCGCATCAGAGGTGCAGGAAAAATAAGTACTTAATGAACCACATCAGAAAACAAGTTTTGCTGACTGGCTGGAAGGATAGACAGTCGGTTACGTTCAAAGGACTTGCAGAATGATCGTTCTTTATTACAATGACGAGGGGCTGTTCGGGGGCGCCTGTGGCATCCCTCACAACCATTTGCGGCCTTCGGCCAGGAAAGTCACGGAACAAATTGCACACAAACGACGCCTTCACACAAGCACCCGATGCTCCGTTTTGAAGTTTTCAAATGAAACATCTTTGAATTGTATTATGTTTTAAATTAGATACGTTTATTTCTTCATTAAAAGCTTATATAATTTTACATCTGGAAGACTTCATTGAAAACGACATTTCGTGTCAATTTTCTCTCGTCAAGTCGATGGCCTTGCTGGGGGTTCGGTTCGATGCGGACTTTCACCTTCATGGGATTGCGGGGTCGAGATAAGGCGACGTAGAGCTGCTGGCCGTGCGAGAAGACCGCCGTCTGCAGATCGATTCCAACGTAATCGAACTCTGTCCCTGCAAACCTACGCGCCCCCTGCATGAAAACGACGGAAAGTGCAGCGTTCATCACAGATAAAGTTGTGCGCTTATATAAGAGTACTAGCTGTACTACCCGGCTTCGCCCGGGACTTGTATCTACCACGGCCGGCCGCCTTTGTCTCCCCAGTGGCGATGTTAATACGCTACAGTAGTTAAGTTACTCGTTTGAGGCAGAGTCGACCTAGGGGAGGTTCAAATAATCGTCACCGGTGGTGGCCGTGAGCGGGAATCGAACTGGGTTTGCCGGGTTGGTAGCGCAGCGTAGCGTTAAGCACTACACCCACCGCTCCTCACACACCACACACGCACAGACACACACACAGACACACACACAGACACACGCAGACACACACAGACAGAAACACACACACAGACAGCACGCTAACCACTACACTACCGCTCCCCACACACCACACACGCACACACACAGACACACACACACAGACACAGGCAGCACGCTAAGCACTACACTACCGTTCCCCCTACACAACACACGCGCGCGCGTCCATAGGTACACATACACGCGCTTTCTGCAGACACACACGACTTTCAGGGTGCATACGGCAGTAAACGACTGAAATAATAAAGCGGCAATGCTGTGTAAGGAACGCCTTAGACCCGCATTATACATTTTTGTAATGCGAGCGTAAACACACAAACACACACAAACACATACACAATACACACACACATACATGCAGACACACAGACAGACACATAACACACATACATACACACACATACAAACACAGAAACACATACACACACATACATAGACACACACATACATACACACAAACACATCTACAGACGTACATACACACATACATACAGGCACGCAGACATACACATAAACACATACAAAAAAACCCACATACATACACACACACATACATACACACAAACACATGCACACACATACATACACACATGCATACAGACACACAGACATACACATAAACACATACACACATACACATGACCCGGCTTCGCCCGGTACTTGGATCCACCACGGCGGCAAAACCGACATACATACACACACAGACATACACACAAACACATACACACACATACATACACACATGCATACAGACACACAGACATACACATAAACACATACACATGACCCGGCTTCGCCCGGGACTTGGATCCACCACGGCGGCAAAACCGACATACATACACACACAGACATACACACAAACACATACACACACATACATACACACATGCATACAGACACACAGACATACACATAAACACATACACATGAGCCGGCTTCGCCCGGGACTTGGATCTACCACGCCCAGCCGCCTTTGTCTCCCAAGTGCCGATGTTAATACGCCACACCAGTTACTCGTTTGAGGCTGAGTGGACCTAGGGGAGGTTCAAATAATCGTCACCGGTGGTGGCCGTGAGCGGGAATGGAACTGGGTTCGCCGGGTTGGTAGCGCAGCGTAGCGTTAAGCACTACACCCACCGCTCCTCACACACCACACACGCACAGACACACACACAGACACACGCAGACACACACAGACAGACACAGACAGACACACACACACACAGACACACAGACAGCACGCTAAGCACTACACTACCGCTCCCCACACACCACACACGCACACACACAGACACACACACAGACACACGCAGACACACACAGACAGACACAGACAGACACACACACACACAGACACAGACAGCACGCTAAGCACTACACTACCGTTCCCCCTACACAACACACGCGCGCGCGTCCATAGGTACACATACACGCGCTTGCTGCAGACACACACGACTTTCAGGGTGCGTAAGGCAGTAAACGACTGAAATAATAAAGCGGCAATGCTGTGCGAGGAACGCCTTAGACCAGCAACACATTTGTGTAATGCGAGCGTAAACACATACAAACACATACACACACATACACACACATACATACACACACATACACACAAACACATACACACAGACATACACATACACACAAACATACATGCACACAAACACATACACAATACACACATACATGCAGACACAGACAGACATATAACACACATACATACACACACATACACACACATACATAGACACACACATACATAGACACACACATACATACACACAAACACATGCACACACGTACATACACACATACATAGAGACACGCAGACATACACATAAAGACATAAAAAAACCCACATACATACACACACACATACACACAAACACATACATACACATACATACACACATACATAGAGACACACAGACATACACATAAACACAAACACACATACACATGACCCGGCTTCGCCCGGGACTTTGATCCACGATGCCCCGCCGCCTTTGTCTCCCCAGTGACGATGTTCACACACGACAGCAGTTACGCTTTTGAGGCTGAGTGGACCTAGGGGAGGGCCAGGTCCGTTTCAAATAATCGTCAGCGGTGGTGGGCGTGAGTTGGAATCGAACTGGGGTCGCTCAAGCAGCTTAATGACTGTTTGTACAAAGAACATATAAAGAATCGATTATAATAACCAGGCAAGAGTCCACATTATAGACTGCCAGTACACGCACTCAGCTTCATAAGCAGGCTAGAGTGTACATGATAGAGTGGCAGTACGCTCACCGAGCTTAATAAGCAGGCTACAGTGTACATGATAGACTGGCAGTACGCTCACCCAGCTTAATGAGTATTTGTACAGTGAACATTAAAGTAATCGATTGTTGGCGCGTTGGGTTTAAAAGTAATATTAGCACACATTGTGGTGGGGGTGTAGTGAAGAGTAGGAAAAACTTTGATGAATTTACCTCAGAGTGGCGTGGTGGGTGTCGAGGCCTAGTAGCGTGCAAAGCCTGCGGCCTCGCCTAAAATTGTCGGCTTGGAAGAGGCAGGGTACGGGTGGCGTTCCTTCCCCCCCCCTAGCGCTCCAACAATACTGTGTAATGGCTATTATTTAATTAAATACGGAGCTTATGAAAGTGGCGAAGGCGTGGCTAGCCGTTGGCAGGGGCAACCGCCGTCCAATGAAACTGCAGCCCTTGGCGAAGGCGTGGCTAGCCGTTGCCAGGTCCAATGAAAGCGGCGAAGGTGTGGCTAGCCGTTGCCAGGGGCAACCGCCGTCCAATGAAAGTGCGTATGGGCCAAAGTCCACACACACACACACAGACAGACAGACATGAACGATTTTATATATATAGATTATTGTCCCTATGTGCGTATGTATATATGTGTACGTTTATGTAGATATGTCTCGTAGATACAGTATGTGTGTATCTGTGTAGAAATGACTATACATGGGGAGTGGTAATGTCGCGGTTAGCACCCTGTGCTACGAACCTGACGAACCGGGTTCGATTCCCGCTAATTGCCACGATTAGTGGAAATTGTCTGAACCGATCCTAGACCTCCGCGAGGTCGACTCAGCCTCAAACTGAGTACCTGGTGTGGTGTGTAAACATCGCCATGAGGAAGACAAAGGCGGTCGGGCATAGTGCTGGCCCACCCACCCCCTCGTGTGCTGTGCCAGTCTTCATCGGTGATATCCGCTAACAGCACTTGCCCCAAAAGTTTGTTACGGCTATTCGGGGGACCTTTGTTGATTGACAGTACGTGAATGTGTTATATTCTGCGCAATAGCTGAGCGAGGATTTTCAGGTAGGGGGGCAACCCCTCCAGCAATGAAAAATGATAAAGGAGTTGTTAGTAAGTAAGGAGTTGCTAGTAGGTAAGGAGTTGCTAGTAGGTAAGGACCTTGTCCCTTGCTTTTTATTCGACGACGCATGTGCGGCGATGGCGCAGCCGTCGATCGAAGGTCGAATTCGAGCCGCGTGGTGCGATCGGCATCGCGCTCGCTGGAGGTGTTGATGCCTTCAGGGAAGTCGTGGACTGGATACGCGACTGCGCACAATTCTGTGATGATAGGACTTATAGAGTCCCTGGCACGTACTAATATGCTACACAGTGGCAGTGGGGGTCGCAAAATGCCTATTTATTACTAATCATTGGGGGGGGGGGCACCGTGCGACCCCCCCCCCCCCCCCCCCCCCACTGGCTCCGCCAGTGATTCTGCGTATTCAGTATATCAGTATATGTGTGTGTATATCGGCCCTGTTGGTCTTCATAGGCGCTCAATAAATTGTGTAGAGTATACGGGGAATCTTTATCTATGTATGTATATGTGTGTTCTTCGTGTGTATGTCTAAGAGTGTTTTATAAGCTACAGTGTCTGCATGAGTGCATCTCAGTGTGTGTATGAATCTATGAATAGCTCCCGCTCCATCTGGACACAGTGTGACGGCCAGGGACAGTCATCGCAGGAGCGCACATGGCAGAGAGATTAGGGCACCGCGCGATGATGGGGATGATGAGGACGATTATTGGCACAGACATTCCCTCTACACAAATTATCGCGACAGCAAAGTAACACACAAATTACACGCAGATACAATAACAACATCCGACATTCGCCACCAAGTGGCGGTGTCGTTACCACAACGCTTGTGCCAGGCTAGGTGTATTTTGAGACCACGTGAATGTCGAATGTTAACTCGCAGGTCACTGACCCAGGTATATTAGGTTTACAGATTGAGATGTCTGGCCAACTTGCTGCGTTTTATCCACCCGGCGCTTCACCCGTTGTTGTGAGCGTCGCTCCGCCCACCTACTGCCTCCAACTGCCCAGTAGCGTCCTTCACGAGCCTTCTCCACAGAGGTCGATCTTGACACCGCTGGAACCAGTCATCGGCAAGTCCACTCAGCTCCACTTCCTCTCTTACCAAAACTCTCCAGCCCGTGCCGCTTCCATTTGGCCCCCGCTATCCGGCCACACATAAGCTGCTTGGCCACGCTAACTCTACTATAGTTACGTAATTAATTATCTATGCTTCTCTGCCCAGGAAAGCCTCACTGAGTCTCGACTCTTTTCCAGGATGGGTCTGCCACGTTGTTCAAGTAGGGGGCGATGCTGTTGCTGTGTGTAAACCCAATTTAATGATTTGCTGGTCAATTTTCAGCATTGGGATGTATTTGGGCCAATGCGGGGTTACAGTGTGTTCTGTTCTTAACTATGGGCAGAAATCGGAGAACCCGGAGTAAACCCATGCAAGACAGGGGGGGGCGGGGGGGGACATACACACTGAACACGGAGAGGGGCGGCCGAGTCGGGAATCTTGAAGTGTCTTGCTGTGAGGCACGAGCGTTATCACTGCGCGCCAGCCGCGACTCGGACAACGCCACTGACAGCTGCAGCAGCATCTGTAGCTGCTACTGCAGCTACAGATGCTGCTGCAGCTACAGCTACTGCTGCAGCTACAGTTACTGCTGCAGCTACAGTTGCTGCTGCAGCTACAGCTGCTGGAGCTACAGCTGCTGCTGCAGCTACAGTTGCTGCTGCAGCTACAGCTGCTGGAGCTACAGCTGCTGCTGCAGCTACAGTTGCTGCTGCAGGCATAGCTGTAGCAGCTACAGCTGCCACAGCTACAGCTGCCACAGCTACAGCTGCCACAGCTACAGCTGCCACAGCTACAGCTGCCACAGCTACAGCTGCTATGCCGCGCCGTGTCCACGCGGCGGCGCTACGCGCGAAGTGTTTCCCCGCCGCGACGTGGCGATATCCGACGATATAATCCACGATAATCGCAAAATAGCGTCAACAAATAGTGATGATGGTTTCTCTTTATTTGCTAAAAGGGCAATCACATTCACGAACAATAGTTGTGAACTTGTGGACCTTAGTAATGACTGTATAATGTATTGTTGCCGTGCGACTTGGGAGCCGTCGCCGCTCCAGGCGCTGGCGATTCTCAACCCGCGCCGGGCGCGGCGAGTTTCACGGCGGACTCCGGCGCGTGACGTGCAGTGGCAGAGCATTGCAGTGGCAGAGCATTGCAGTGGATGTCGGTGCGTGCCGGGGGGAGAATAACAGCGAGTCACAACACGGCACGATCATTACACTAGCGAGATTCAATTATAGAGCTTAGGAAAACCAATATCGCGATAATCGAATTTATAGAGCGCCTTCACGTAACCTACAAACGGTGATGGGATAGAATGACTTGTATGACAGGGGCATACGACAAGGAATGAGTGACAGCGCTGGAGGGCACGTCGGGATGACGAGAGGGCTGTAGGGGAGGGAAGACGAAGAGAATGGGCCATGGGGAAGAGGTGGGAGATGAAGCGAGGAACCGAAGGTGGACATTCATTATCATCACATCGTGCTGCCAACATCTGGAGGACAAAGTGGATAACCATACGGCTCCTTCACACTGCATTCATGTATCCCACGTAAAGGGTTGTGCCTCCTCTAGGTTGACTCAGCTTTAAATAAGCCCTTCAACGAGTATACTTTGCAGTTAATTCTCGAACTCAGCACTGAGGAGACAAAGGCGGCCTGCCAGGCGAGGTGCTTTATAATCACCGGGGACGTTAATAGGTGCTCGCTGACAGCGCTCAACCCAACAGTGTGCGCGTGTGGCCGTGTCGCGTGTGCTGCACAGCTGTGTGTGTGGCCGTGTCGCGTGTGCTGCACAGCTGTGTGTGTGTGTCATTGTGCAGAGTGCAGAGTGCGGGCTCTCTCTGTCTGCTGCTGTAGCGGCTCCGCGTGTGCCCGCGGGCTGTCTGGCTGCTGCTGCCGCTGCCTGTGCGTGCGGACGTGGCCACGTGCGCGTCTGGAGCGGCTCAGTGGCTCTTGTGTGGGGGGAGCGGTGGCGCAGTGGTTAGCGAACTGCACGACGAACCCGACCACTCCGAGCTGGATTCGGGCTCGCGGCCAACATCGGCGATGAATATCTGAAATGGTCCTGGGCCTCCCCGAGGTCGACTCAGCCTTAACATGAGTACAGTAGGTGATGCGGTGTGTAAACATCAGCATTGGGCAGACAAAGGTGGCCGCCAGGCATCGTTCTGGCCACGCCAACGCACGGTGCGCCCAGCAGTGTGTGCGAGGCCACACGGGACACCTTTGCCTTTGTGTGTGTCTTTGTGTAACGTCTGTAATCATCAGCACCGAAAGAGCCAAAACAAAATCCCTGGGGTTGATCTTCCACGAAGATGATCGTCCACCCTAAACCGCATCGGCACAAACCATGGCAGATGCAGATGCCCGACACACAAACGGGGATTTAGAAACTCCGCAGTGGTCGTGGTGCGACTGTGGCCATCCCGAACAGACCGAACGGCACAACGAGGCGATGCCCCATGCACGACGACAGAGGACACGTCACCGGGACACGCTGCTGCTGCTGCTGCTGTGATCTCGCTTGGCCACCTGAATGCGAAACTGCGGTCGTTGCTCAACGTCGACATGAGCAGCCATAGGCAGGGAACAAGCGGATCAGCACCGGGGAGACAAAGGCGGCCGGGCGTGGTGCTGGCCACACGCCCCCCCCCCACCGTGTAACGGCGCGCGCCGCTGTGCGGGCCACGCCCCCACCCGGGGGGAGGGGGAGAGGGAGAGGGGGGAGGGGGAGAGGGGGGAGGGGGGGTTGTTGCGTTTCGCCACTAAAAGCAGAAGCGGTCGCCTCTTCTACTCCACGCGCTCCTCCTCCTCCTCCTCCACCTCCTCCTCCTCATCGAACTCGAGTCGCAGCGCGCCCTGCACGCACGAAGCCCCATCGCGACATGGCGAGGTGAGCCCAGAGCGAGTGAGGGGGGCAGGGGGGCTCAATGCCCCCCACCCCTCCACTTCGCTCTCCCCTCTCCTCTCATCCCCCCGCGCTCCCTCCGCTCGCTCCGGTCACTGCGCATTTCGGAATCCGGGCTGAAGAGGAGACAGCGGCGTTGCGTAACAGGGGGGAGGGGGGTGCGGGGGGGTATGGGGGGAAGGGGGGTATGGGGGGGGGGTATGGAGGGGAGTATGGGGGGGGGGGGGGGGTATGGGGGGGAGGGGGGTATGGGGGGGAGGGGGGTGTGGGGGGGCACATTCCTAGTGGAGGGCGACGTGACGCGAGAGTGGGGGGCCCGAGGGCTGGGTGATGCGGGGCTGGGTGATGCGGGGCTGGGTGATTCGGGGCTGGGTGATGCGGGGCTGGGTGATGCAGGGCTGGGTGATACAGGGCTGGGTGATACAGGGCTGGGTGATGTGGGGCTGGGTGATGCGGGGCGAGAGGGATGAATGGGAGCTGGAGGAGATAAGGGTAAGAGAGGTAGGCGGGTATTAATGGATGGAGAGGGGAGTCGCGGATGAGTGAGGATGGAGAGGGACTGATGGATACTGGGGGGCTAGAGGGGGGTGGGACCGTGTCCCGTTAACCTGGGGCCCAATGAACCCCCACTGGGGCCCTCTGTAAGCAACATTAGTTACCCTGTCACCTCGTGAGATGACGAGAGCCGAGTGACCACCCTCGGTAACGTGGCCGTGGTGGCAGCGTGGAGTGCAGCAGGCAGGCAGGGCTAGAGACCGAGTGAGACGTCGTCCAGTCTCAATCTGCTGCTGGACGGGGGGCTGGCTGGCTCCCATCGTGCTGTGTACAGTGTGCGTGTACAGTGACCAAGGCGCATGGGGAGGTGGTTCGGTTTGTGGGGGGTCGTCATCGATACTAACTGGGGGCACAGCTGATGGCTACCCCCACCCCCACACACACCACTGCCGCTTCCTGCCAATGCAGCACGTGCTCAGTACAGTGTACACACAACACACACCTGCACAGTACACGTGTACACACAACACACACCTGCACATTGCACAGTACACGTGTACACACAAAAGACACGCGTACACAATACACACACACAAAGGTAAAAAACACGCACACATAACAAACATAGACACAGGACCCAATACTATGAACACTACCGTACATATAAACACACACCTCACCATTTTCCCATCAAAATTATTTTTTATCACAGACACACTCTCACAAATCACATAGAACCTCGCACAGACTCACACACTCACACAGACACTCACCAACTCACACGCACAGACACTCACCAACTCACACACTCACACAGACTCTCACTCACCAACACACACACTCACACAGACACTCACCAACTCACACACTCACACAGACTCTCACTCACCAACACACACACTCACACAGACACTCACCAACTCACACACTCACACAGACTCACTCACCAACACACACACTCACACAGACACTCACCAACTCACACACTCACACAGACTCTCACTCACCAACACACACACTCACACAGACTCTCACTCACCAACACACACACTCACACAGACACTCACCAACTCACACACTTACTCACCCACTCACACACTCACCAACTCACACACTCACTCACCAACTCACACACTCACTCACCAACTCACACAGACACCAACTCACACGCACAGACACTCACCAACTCACACACTCACACAGACTCTCACTCACCAACTCACTCACCAACTCACTCACCAACTCACTCACCAACTCACTCACCAACTCACACACTCACACAGACAATCACACACTCACTCACCAACTCACACACACTCACTAACTCGCACAAACGCTCACTCACCAACTCACACAGACTCACTCACCAACTCACACTCACTCACCAACTCACTCACCAACTCACACAAACGCTCACTCACCAACTCACACAGACTCACAAGGACTCATCGCCAAGTTTAATCTCTTGGCAGCGCCTCCAGCACCACGTGGCTCGTGTTTTCGGCCCTGTGCGTTCCGTTTTGTCCTCTTTCGGCTTTTGTAATTAGTGAATTATTTATACTCCCAGCCCCATTACAACCGCGGGGAGCTGAGTTAGACTTTCGGCCGCTGTAAATGCCGCGGCGTGCTGAGTTGGAGCGATTCTGGAGAACATTTATATTTACTTAAAGTAATGGAACTGGCTCACAAATAAAAATTGGTTGGTGACGGAACTCTTGTGATGCATGCAGCGCTTTGTAGGTCAGCGTTGGTGGATCACGCCTAGATTTGTGAAACTCCCAAGACCTAAGGGTGGGCAGGACGATGTAAGTAGAGCCATGTGGGTGGGAGAACCCCTCTGCGCAGAGCGTTGTTATCTGCTCGTAATCTCTGGCCGCTCCGGCTTCCTCCCACACGAAGGAAAGAAAACACGCATAATTTAAAATAATTAGCTAAAAATCCTAATCTTACAGGCCCAAACATCCCCCAGTGTTTAGTCGTAGCAGGACCCTCCTGACTGTGAGCCTTGTGAGGCTCGGGGAGGCTTCCCTGGGTGGATGACTCAACCCTTCTCCATGACGCCAAATGATGATTACTGTACTCTACACACAGCCGTGCTCGGCACACAGTGTCCTAATCTCTTGGCACATACTGAGACCAGGTGAGGTCCAGTTGCATCCGCCTGGCAGGTGAGGGAGGGGCCGGCAGGGCGACACTGGGACCCACATTTCAAAGCCCCTTGGTGGGTCGCTACCTGCCCCCCCTCACCTCCCCCCCCATGAGGCGTGTAACGATTCATCAATTAAAATGAATTCTGGGCCAGAGAAGACAGTGCATGTCCCAACGAACGGGTGGGGTGGTGCACAATACAAACGAGACGGAGCGGAGGGAGAGTGGCTTAACCAGCAAGACAAAGAGCGTGGATTATTCTTGTCCCGTCAGGATTCCTCGCCAGTCACCACCTCACTCTACGCTCCCACGCCCGTGCTCCCCACCTACACCCACCCGCACTGACCTACGTGGTGAAGTATGGTCGATGAACCACCACGACCCGATTAATTTTTCACAATATTCTCAGGGCCGCAGAAACGTGGGGAAATATGAATGCGTCCGAGAGGACACCCACCTATAAAGAGATGGAGCAATGTAAATCAGCGTGTGTGTAGGGGCTGGGTGAATTGTGATGGCTTGGGGAGACCTTCATCCAACAGTGAATTGATCATGGCTGCTGCAGATTAATTATTTTGTCGCCGGTAGAGTGGAGTAGGTGACGCATGACGAGTAGTAGCCACAGCCATAGCCAGTGGCCTACTGGATCTGGTGTGCCGGCCACGGAACTATTTTCCAGTTGCCGATCCAGACAATCCCGGCTGAAATAAAGCCATGGCTGCAGGTATTCGTTTCATTGGTTATAAACCAATGGCCTAGCATCGTTAGGGTTAGAGTCGGGGTTGGGCTCAGAGTTTTGTAATGGCCGAGGTTTGAGATATGTGCAATTACAATATGTGTGCAATTCATGACATTTGTTTCATAAGAGAAAAGTATCCATTCTTACGTGTCCCATCTCTGTGTTACGATTGTGTGCAAAGGACGTGCCTCTTTGTCTCCGCTGTTGTCTCCTCCATTGCCCTGCTTCTACGTTGCCCCGAGTGTTTTACGACAGCCAGGTGTGTAATTGCCACAGCGCCGCTTTCGTTGTGTCTGCTGCTATCTCTATCTCGGTGCTGTTCGTGTATGCGGTGACACTGTAGGGCTCGTGTGTCATTATCAGTGGCTCTACGTAAAGTATAGGGCAGGTGAATGTACAGGTACACGGCGGCGGCGCTGACTGAACAATGGCCTCCAGCTACATGAGCCAGATCTTCTCGTGTAACAGGAGGTGCTGTGTGTGCCTACATCTCTGTTTGTGCCTGGGTCATGTAGCCCGCATGCCCAGCCACCGCATGCCCAAGCAACTTCTGTTTGGCTGGATAGAGGGAGCTAAAGGGGCACGGCATGGGCTGGAGAAGATATAGATTGATGCGGTACAGGAGGATATGGAGCTGAGTGGACTTGCCAAAGACTGGTACCAGCGGTGTCAAGATCGGCCTCTGTGGAAGAGGTGCATGAAGGACGCTACTGGGCATTCAGAGGCAGGCGCCCTCCAGCAACAACGGAGGGTGGAGGAGCGACGCTCAGAAAAATGAGCGGAGCTCTGGGCGGCTAAAATGCAGAAAGTTGGCAGATTAGGGGGCATAGTTGGTGCATCTCATCTCAATCGGTAAATCCATGGCACCTGGTCCTGTCCTGTGACCTCTTGTCAGCGAGCCTTCGACACTTCACATGACATCGTAGTGCACCTGACCTGGCACAAGCACCGTGGTGATGTCACCACCACTTAGTGGCGAATGGCGGCCATTGTTGCTGTACCTGTGTATTCCCGTGCCCATACGTGTTCGTGTAACCACGTATTCGCAAGTGTGTTCGTGTAACCACGTGTTCACACGTGTGTCTGTGTAACCACGTGTTCACACGTGTGTCTGTGTAACCACGTGTTCACACGTGTGTCTGTGTAACCACGTGTTCACACGTGTGTCTGTGTAACCACGTGTTCACACGTGTGTCTGTGTAACCACGTGTTCACACGTGTGTCTGTGTAACCACGTGTTCACACGTGTGTCTGTGTAACCACGTGTCCCCGCAGCACTGGAGCGAGCGAGCGCGAGCTGCAGCAGGTGATGAGTGCGCTGTGGGACGCGGATGTGAACCGCCTCAAGCCAGGGAGAGACTACGCCATCGACCTCCAGGTGCAGCGGGGACCCCACGGTGGCGTGGTTGGGTGTGGTAGCTGAGTTGTTGTTGTGTTTAGTGGCTGCTCTGTCGTACTGTGGTTGTACCGTGGCCGTGTGGTTACACTGTGGTTTTGTTGTGGTTGTGCGGTAGGGACGCGCAGGCTACGTGCCCACGGGGAGTAACTCTGCCACGGACTGCGCTGTAAGGCCGCTTTTCAAATTCGTGGACGAGGGACGCTTGCACGGCATCGAGACGTTCAGAGGTGGGTCTCCCTGATCCCCCCTCCTACCCCTGGTCCTCCTGTCCCTGGTCCCCATCCTCTAATTTGATTTACAATTCTTCCTGATCCACAACTAGAGGCCGAAAGTTGGCAAATGGCCTCTTTCGGCATAGTTTCTGTTTCGGCCGAAAGTAAATGTTTTACTTTCAGTTTAGTTTCGGTTTACTTTCGGTTTACTTTCGGTTTACTTTCGGTTTTGGCCGAAAGTAAATTTCTTACTTTCGGTCTGGTTTTGTTTTCGGCCGAAACCAGAAATTCAGTTTCGGTCGGCCTCTAAACTACACGTGCGCGCGCGCGACTCCGGGCAGCAGCAGCGGCGGTGGTGGTGGTGGTTGATGGCAGACGCTCCTCACTCTCTCCAAAGATCGCAAGCAGCGCACACACGCACACTCAAGCAAGGATGGGGGTGAGAGGGGTGTGGTGGTGGTGGGGGGGGGGGATAAGACAGACGACGGAGAAAAATAAGAAAAAAATAACTTCCCCCCCAAATACACCAAACTATCGAGCAGCAAGCAGCACTCGCGTAGCCAGCACTCGCATAACCAGCACATGCAGCAGTAGCAGCAGTCCACCAGGAGCATTTTTGTTTGAGCAGCTCAGAGGCTGGGCTCTCACAGGCAGCTCGAGGCATGCACCACACACGCACACAGACGCGCGCATGCACAGCACACTGAGCAGATTATAGCAGTGTGCTGATGCCAACAGTGTGCATACGCGCGCGCACACTCACTCATCCACCCACCAGCCACACACACACCAACCCACCCACCCCTCCAATGATCCAATTCAACCCTCCCACCACCCCATCTTACCCCACCTCCTCCACATGGGTTCCACACAGCATGAGGGAGCTTGGGTGTGCGTGCGTGCGAGTATAGAGGCCGACCCCAAATTCGGTTTTGGCGCCAAAAGTTGGCAAATGGCCTCTTTCGGCATAGTTTCTGTTTTGGCCGAAGCCAAAAAGTTAACTTTCGGTTTACTTTTGGTTTTGGCTGAAAGTAAATTTGTAACTTTCGGCCTGGTTTCGGTTTCGGCCGAAACCAGAAATTAAGTTTTGGTTGGCCTCTATCCACAACCCACTACTCCATCTGATCCTAACTCCTCCCCCTAATTATTCCTCCTCCTCCCCTCTCCTCCTCCCTCCCACCCTCTCCCACCCCCCATTTTATGCTGCCTCCTAGACATTGCTTGCATTTGGCAGTGTGTGGTTGTGGTCGCGATGATTATTGCGGTGATTGTGGTTGTGGTGGTTGTGTGTGGCAGTGTTCCTGTCACTGCTGGACAACTACGAGTCGTCCACGGGCATCGCGGAGACGGTGACGGCGGAGGAGGAGGCTGAGAACCGGCACTTCCTGGATGCAGTGACGCAGACCAGCGTCATGCAGGCGCGGTCACACACAGCCATGTACACGTGCACCCACGTGCTCCGGTTTCCCCGTGTCCATCTGTCCCCATGTCACTGCGTCCTCGTGACCCAATATCTCTGTGTCCCCATGGTCCAATCTCCTCTTGTCTCCAGGCCTTCATGTTCCTCTGTCCCTCTCTCCCTGTGTCCCCATGCTCATGTTTTCCTATGTCCCCTTGTCCCCATGTCCTTGTGTTCACCTGTTCCCATGCCCTAATGTCTGTGTATCCCCATGTAACTGTGTCCCTGCGTCCCGTCAGATTGCGCACAAGTTCCTGGCGGAGAGGGGTCTCGCTGACCGTAGCCCCGAGGGCTTCAAGCGGCAGCTCTACTCCATCTGGTTCCAGCTCTACTCTCGCGACAACTACCGGTACTCGTCTCCCCGCCTACCATCACGCCTTCATCCCTCGCTCGGTATCCACAGGACTAACAGTAGCCACGGACATAACGAGAGGTATAGTGGGTGAGGTGTGTCGGGTGCAGAAATATATTCCAGATTGCCGACCCAGACAGAACCGGCTGAAATTAATCCCGGGTTGAAATCGACATTTAAGCTCGGGACGCGTGCATGGTGTCGCGTGCTTCAGAATCCATTATTTCTGACTGATGCAAATGGGGTTGAGGGATCGGTGGCACACTGGTTAGCACACTGTGCCATGAACCCAGCGACCTTAAGTTCTCAGCCATGGCTCACTTCAATGGTTAGTGAGACAATGACTGGCCTTGATAGGTGCCCGCTAATGGCACTTTCCCCAAAAGTTTGTATGTCTGCTCGCATGTGTACATGCTTGGTTAGCGCGCTGCACTATTAAACCGGCGAACTGAGTTAAAGTCCTGATTGAGACCAATAACAGTTGCAAATATTTGAACTGCTCCTGGGCCTTCCCTAGATCGACTCAGGCCTAAATGGCATGGTGTTGGCCACCCACCCATCCCTTTGTGTGCCGTGCTGGCCTTCATAGGTGCTACTCACTAACCTTGCCCCAAAAGTTTACTAAAGCTATACTTCGGGATTTTTGCCGTTGTGCCGGTGCGTATGCACAAGCTCGCGTGTGTGCTCATGTGCGCGCCGGTGCGTGTGTATGTACGTCTAGCGGGGACTCGTCGGGCTTCGAGCACGTGTTCGTGGGGGAGACACGGCGTGGTGCCAACATCCTGGGCTTCCACAACTGGGTGCAGTTCTACCTGCAGGAGAAACACGGCCACGTGGACTACAAAGGATACAAGGCCCAACGCAGCAGCCGGGTACGCAGAGGGGGGTCCCCTATGTACAGGGGGTCCCCTACGCACACGGGATCCCCTACAACATCAAGGGTGTTCCACACATGGGGGTCTGTGATGCAGGAGGCCCCTTACACAGAGCACTTGTGCAACCACAGAGGAATAGGGTTATGGCTAAGGTTCTTCGCAGGTCAGGAGGCATGAAGGTGAGCTGTGCAGATATTACATGCAGGTGAGGCACAACATTTAACAACACCTGGTCAAAGCCATGCGACGTGAGATATCAAGGTGGGCCATGAAGCTGAGCCATCAGAGTTTATTGTGCAGGAGAGGTATCAAGGTAACCCATTAACCTTCCTGCACCCCACTCCCTCCCCCTTCCTTCCCCACCCCTCCACAGCCGGATGACCAGGACCACCTGTTGACGCTGCAGTTCAGCTGGAAGGGGGTGGTAAAGCCCATGGGCAGCTCGTTCATCGGCGTGTCGCCAGAGTTTGAGATGGCGGTCTACACGGTGTGCTTCCTGCTGTCGCGCGAGCGCTCCTCCAGCTACGCCATGCGCCTCGACGAGTACAGTGTGCGCCTCGAGTGCCATCGCCAGGGCAACCGCATCGGCAGCTCCTACCCGGTGCTGCTCGCAAGCAACCTGGCCTAGCGGCCTGGCATAGTGGCCTGATTTAGTGGCGTAGCGGCCTGGCATAGCGGCTTGGCATAGTGGCCTGGTTTAGTGGCTTAGCGGCCTGGCCTAGAGGCCTGGCATAGCGGCCTGCCGGCGGGCGGAGCCATGGAATCCGGGCACGCATTATTATTTTTGTTATTATAATCGCTATGCTTGTTTACCCAGGAAAGCCTTGCTGAATTTGAAGACTTTTTCAGGAGGGTCCTGCCGAGTTTTGTGCATAGGTGGCAATGTTGGTACGTGTAATCCTAATAGAGTAATTTGAAAGGAAGTTTTTTTTTATCATTTGGATGTTTGGGTATTACCTGTTACATTGTGTGTTTTTGAAGCCATGGGAGAAAACTTGAGAACCCAGAGGAAACCAATGCAGAACAGGAGAAGATACAGAGTCCACACAGAAAGGAGGTGTCTGAGTTGGAAATCAAACCCAGGCCCTTCTTGCTGTGAGGAATAAGTGTTACCACTGCGCCACCACCCTGTCACCCAGAGTTTGCCATCTGCATAGTCGTAATGTTTGTCACCTATTGCAAAGGTCTCGGCGCTTGTGCGGTATGGCTCTCCGGTGCGTCTTGGGGTCGTACCGCGTCTTGGTCGGCACAATGTCCGTTTCACTTCACGTTCTGGGAGCTTCAGAGCTTTAGTTCTGTTTCTGAGGAAGGTCTCGGCATGTGCTGCGAAACGTCAGACATGCCGAACAACATGTAGTACAACCCAAAAATACATAGGAGAGCTATTTGTCATCGTCAATAGCAGGGCTTAAACTCCCAATTAATATGTTCCTGGGTCACTGGCAGACTCCAGTAGTTGGCACGTGACTGGTACCCAATGCAGCCCATAGCGAGAGTCATGCTGGATGTGGTGTGCTGGGTGCCGAAGTATGATTTGGCTTGGTTGTCTGCCATTGTTCCTGCACGGGTTCCCAAATTGCAGTGCCTCTGCGTGTTCACCAACCTCATGCTGCCGAATTCGCAGTTTGCTACGAGCTGCATGCATACGCTGTGGTAAACATGCCGAGCGCGACGTACACAGAGTGCTGATTCCTGTTTTTTATATGTATTTTTACACTCATGTATGCACACATACATATGAACATACAGACACAAATATAGAGTACATCATCCATGTCCATCCTGAATGTGAATTGATGTCATCTCTGCAGTGGTCATCCTCTTGGGCGAATTATCTCCTTTGGCTGCCATCCCATCAAAAGTCTTGACCATAGGCCTTGATCATTCCATGTATGTGATGACTTGATCTCCTCTGCATTTGTTCCACGATCCATGTGCTCCTAGTTCAGTCAGTATACTGCTGAGCATTATTTCATTCAATGTCATTATCAGTGTTATGATTTTGCTTGCTTTAGACAGAGTTGTGTGTGTTAAGGTCCATCAGTGGCTGGGGCTGTCTCTCTCTGGGGTATCGACCCTAGGTCCATGAGTCCCATCGTCCCCCACAAAGAGCCCCACCCTCCACCAATGTATCTCGTCGCCACTTCATCACTCCGTCCCGAGTGCTTTTCTTTTGGCAAGACGCGAAGTAATAAAGTGCCTTAATTACACAGTGCCAGTCTTGTTACACTTATCTCGTACGTCAGGGAGTGTATCAGCAATGTGTACATGTTCGTGTCTGCGAGTCGGTGGACTGCTGCAGGAGTAGTAACCAGGAGAATTACGGTAAGTACTGCCAGCGTGAACGGTTGGTGCGTGACACAGGGCAGCAGAGGGCGTGAGATGTCTGTACAGCACTGTAGGAACTTCTTTCGCATCGTACGTAGTCAACCACGCTAATCGGAGGTGCGGGGGAAGGACAACAAGCTGCAGTAAACACAAAAAGCAGTCTAAGCGTGAGAGGCGGTCAGTCTGGAGACGTGAAATTAGGTGGGCTGGTCGAGGGAGCTACGGGGAGAGTTGGAAGCTTCGAGTCATAACACTGGAACAAGATAAAATGGTTTTGTTCATGGGTCATGAGTGTTATTTTTCAATTGTTCATGCCTCAACAGTACAGAACATGGCGATTATTCCCCACAAACTTTGCTTTTGTGACCAGGACACAAAAGCAAAGTTAATAATCCACTCCATTAATAATGACAAATTTATGTTTTTATTCCTCACTACTAAGTGTTATTTTCTAATTGTTTATGCAGAAAATGGCTATTAGTCTGCACAAACTTTGCTTTTGTGACCAGGACAGTGCTATTTTGAAATTAACCTATTTTCAATGGAAAAACGCGGTGTGCATTTGTGTCATTACTTCACAAAGTCCTGGTCACAAAAGCAACGTTTGTGGGGAATAATAGCCATTTTCTATTCTTTTGAGGCATAAGTATTTAGAAAATAACAAAAAGGATCAAAAATCGTGTTACATAGTGTAATTACTTAATTAAAATGTGGGTGGTGTTGAGTGAAAATTTGAGATGTAATTACATCTAAAATTGACACATTTAAATTGGTCGAGTGGAAGCGATATTCACGAATCGGACCGTATAAGGCAACCGTGGAAAGGGTGCAAGGCAGCAACCATAGAAGAAAGAAAGACCACCACGAATCGGACAAAACACGCGACTTGAGCGATCGTCTCTGGGCGTGGTGGCGGTGATCCAGGGAGGTGAGGGTTGGTGGGTCGCGTAGAGACTTGTGAAGCGACAAAGCTCCCCACGACTTCTAAATGGCAGTAAGGGAGATGGTGGAATGGCAAATACGTCTGTGAATCCGTGTCTCGTGTGGCTGAGCTTTAGGAGCTATTCCTCCCGCACGTGGAATCACACGCGGTCTAGTGGCCAGGTAATGATCTGCAGCAGATAAATGCAGTCGTCATTCCAAATAACAATATATTTCTTTAAATGAAAAATACACCAAAGCCAACGCAATAATTAGTAATCTTGGGTATGTTTATGGAACACGTGTGCTGAAAATGTGGCATGCTCTGCATTGTGTGAGAATGGCTAAAAGGCTGGGGCAGTGAGCACATTTCAAGAACGCTCTGGAATTCACGGGGTGCTGCTGCTTCTCTGCCATCATAGATTGACCTTTTGGGGTTCACGTCCCCTGAGAGTGTGGGACGGACACTCACGGGGCTGCTTGACAATCTGGCAAAACTACCGGGCATTGCAAACAGAACACGCATTCTACAAGGTGTATTTAGCTTCACCAAAACTTAAACATAACACCAAAGTCAAGTGTATTTTGTTTAACCAGGTAAGAACTCAACAGATGATTAATGAGTCTAATTTCCAAGAATGATCTGGATCACCAAAATGACAAAACGATGAAGCACAACAATTTAAGCAAATAGCAATCGGCGCAAAAACAGCGGTAACCTTTCAGCAGGTGGCGTTGCAGATAATGTATCCACCCTGAAGCCACAATAAAAACCCACCTCTGTGATTCGTCCATGTCAGGACGATACCAGCCAGGGGAAGGCGACACAGGGCGAGTGTATCCCTCCGACTTCTCGTGGGAATTATATTCTCCCACCTTGGATTTGGAGTCGGCGGCACAAGTTCAGCATATCGCGCAAAGCCATCATCAACCCCACGATTCGTGGCCATTACTTGCGGCCACATTTACGCCGTGAATGTACTAAGCGTGCGCCGCTCATCCAGCAGCGGAGCGAGCCGGGCCGGGCCCCGCCCCGCGGCCGTGACGTCACCGCGGCGCCGAGAGACGAAGAGGAGCAGCAGCAGCGGCGGGGACGACGACGACGACGCGGCCATGGCGGGAGACAGGTGGTCACAGGCGGCGATCGGCGCGGCGCTCACGGCCGCCTCGCACCCGATGCTCTACGTGAAGGTGCTCATCCAGGTGAGGCCGGGACGACTCCGTCTCCTCTGGGGGCTACCGGGTGGGGGCCCAGGGACCGTGGGGCGGGGGGGGGCGTCCCGATCGTGCGCCCCCAGTCAGGCGAGGCCCGGCCAGACACCGACGCTCGGATAGACGACGTGCCGAGGAGGGCGCACTTCCGGCCCGCGGAGCCGGGAGGCCGAGGCTGGGGGTGACCACCGTGATTGATGGCGCTGTTATCTCCTCTCTCCCCGTGGGCGGCGTGGGCTCCGGCCTCGCCCGGCCGCCCGTGCCGTGGCCGTGCTGGTCGCTTCACTTCCCCGGCCGGATTTGGCTGTGTCGAGTCAGGACCGGCCCGGGCTGTGTCACCGCAGTGACATTGAACCCCCAGTCGCCTCGTTCTCTGATCCCGGTTCCCAGTGTCTCCTCGCATCGCGACCCCGAGGTCGGCCCGACCCTGACCTTGATCACGACCTTCACCTTGACCTCGACTCCTACCCAACGCACGAGCTCTGGGGTCTGACAATGACACCTCGTGTCGTGACCCCACGCCTGGCGCGACTCCAGACCCCGGGGGTCACTCTTGACCTCAACCTCGACTCGACACCCCTGGCCATCTCTCAGTCCCTGGCCATCTCTCATGAAATCTGGGTCGGATCCTCGACTTGTTTGTCCGATTGCCTCAAGACCCGACGCTCGAGGACTGACGACGGTCTCCGCAGATGTGTTTTTTTACAAACAGACCGAGGCTTTTAGTTGACTATTATTATCGAAGGATACATTTCATGAGTTAGAGTTTAGGATTGATTTCCCTGAGACCACTTTAATTTAGCCTCATTTGTGGGGACCGTTTTCTTGGCCAAATAACAATGATACTCTTTGTGTGCCCAGGAAACCCCGGCTGCGTCTTTATCAGGAGGGTTCTTGCTAAGTGTCCACAGCAGGGGGCGATGTTGCCGCTGCTGCTGCTGCTGCTGTGTGTGATCCCCGTGCCTCTTCCCACCACCCCTCCAGGTGGGCCATGAGCCGCTCGCCCCATTGTGGGGACGGAACATGTTCGGGCGCCGCGTGCTGCAGTTGCCAGGCCTCTTTGGCTACGGTGAGACCGGCACCAGCATTGGCACTGTCATCAACACGGGCACATCTTGGCCCTGCTCTGTGTGTGGAGACCCAGCACGTGGGGTCAGAGCCCACTTGGCAGCAGACACACGACTCTTGGCCAAAATACATGGACGTTTTGTGCGGGTTGTGGAGGTTATTTTACGCTATCTTCACTATGCTCATCAGTGTGGATTGGTGACCACGGGGAGCATAGATGTACAATAACTCATGCAATATATACACTCCCACGCCCCATAGCTTGTAACACCTATTATGCATTGTGGTCGCCATATCCAAGCACAACCCAGGCTTAAAAGTTGGTTGTATAACGTTGAATGTCCACACGACTTTCAGACGCATGAGATTGTTTAACGGTACCAATAAACTCTGGAGCTGTGACTTACGTGACAGGGTTCATTCTAGTCAGAAAAAAATCAAGAGGTGAGTGACACCACCTTGGCTTGCCCCGTCTCGCAGCACGCCACATCACCAAGGTGGACGGCAAACTGGGGCTCTTCCGGGGTCTGGCGCCACGCCTCTGCACCACCATGCTCGCGTCTTCCACACACAGCTTTGTGCTGCAGGTGGGCATGGGCAGTGGTGCTCGCATAACCACCTACACTTGTACACACACGCCTTCTCACCCCTCCCACTAGCTTATCAGCAAGAGGCCCTTGCAGTGACAGAAGGGACTGCACTTGCTACATTTATAAACAGTGTTGTTTCCAGGTTTAAAATATTCCCCTCTACTACCCAATTGGTGTGGCTAAAATGCTTGCAGTGAATGTGACCGCCATGGTATACAGGACGTCGTGGGTTTGATCCCGACCGTCACGCCTGTATATTCGGAGTTTGTATGTTCTCCCTGTGATCACATTAATTTTTCCCCGGGTCCTCTGGTTTTTCCCTCCACATTTATAAATACAGCAAAACCTTGGATTGCGAGTAACTTGGTCTGCGAGTGTTTTGCAACACTTAGCAGAATTTTTAAATAAATATTAATTTGATAAACGAGCGAGGTCTTGCTAAACGAGTAGTACGTGTATACGCTTTGTCTGCCGAGCGTCACGTGATCACAACTGATATACGAGTGCTTTGAATTACAAGCACGTTTCCGGAACGAATTATGCTCTCAATCCAAGGTTTTACTGTATGTGTTTAAAGTATTCGACTACTATAAATCTATTACATGATAAGAAATGTATGGAGCCTGGATTATTTCAGACACAGTTGTGAGCGCACGACCACCACCAAACCTGGGCAGATCTGGCAGAGCCTTAGGGTGAAAGTTCATGGGTTTCACATCTATGATAAACTGTATGGTTTTGGAAAACAACCAAGCTCCTTGTACACGGATAGGGGGCTGGTACAGTATCAAGGAAGTTCCGTGTTATATTTTTCTTTCATTTTCTTGCAACTTCCTTTCCCATATTTGTATTGCCAGTTTAACATGTAGGCTATCATGGTTAATATCATCCATAATATAGATTTTTTGGATTAGATCGCATGAATATAAATGTGTCGTTATAACCGCCACCACCCGACACAGCCAATTAGTAAGGTTTCTCACGTAAACAGAACGTGCCAATTCGTTACTAGTACAGCACACCGGTGTGTTGGACAGCAAATCTACAACATTTACAATCTGAGAACGACGTGTTGGCAATAATTACAACTAGCTTCATCAGGCGATAGCCAGATTTGTGGAGAAATCCTCCTGTTTTGTTCCTTAAATAGAGGGATAGATGTGATGACGTCACTTGTGAGCACTTCTCGTGCGAAGGGGGTGGATTAATGAATGCATATAGATTGCAATGGGTATCAATTGCCGATCGGGTTTTTCATGTTGTAATCAACGAACATTATGAATGCACATTATACAAGCAAATAGTTTTTGTACCTCCTGTCATTAGCTTGCAGTAAAATAGCAGTACCGGTTATTGTCTGCATACAGGTAATCTCCATTTACGTATGGTGACCTGTTATAGGCAATCACAGGGGTTGTTTGACCTTACTTGACCGGGTTGACAAATTGCTATTATTGGTAAGTAGGTAACGAGTTGCCCTCTTTGTAAATATTAAATAATGAAGCTTGCTATTTAGGGTCATAGATATAATTTTAAACAATTATATTTCCACAGCTGCCTCGAGTGGCTGTATGGGATCACGTGAAGCCATTATATACCACATGTAGGAAAAACAAAATATTGATCCTTACACCCACAGTTTGACGCGTGCATCATGAACGTTAGCATCGACGTTCGTCCATGTCTCACTGTGTTGTTAAACGCTATTTTGCAAGCTGAAGAGTTAAAAAATTGTGACTTAAATTGACGGTATTATTATTTTGTCCCACAGAAATACGCAGAGGACGAGGTACGTTAAAGAGCTGCCCTCTCTCGGTCTCGCGCCAGTCGGAACGTTGTCACTCTTAACCCTGCACGCTGCTCGTACCTTACACCCTTGTACTAGCTACAGTTGCTTTTGGGATGGTCTTGCCTGCGCCCAGTTAGGATGGTCTTGCCTGCTGCAGTGTAATTCTGCAAACTCTGTCCCTGCAGTGATTTACTTCCTCTTCCGTCCTATGGATGTGAATCAAGCAGCGGCAGTAGTAAATCGATGTCTACGTCGTGAATCTGGCTCATGGCTTCAGAGAACACTTGAGTGAAACTCACTTGCGGGCAGTGCAAATGAGTTCACAATGTTTTTTTATCGTGCAACGCAGTCGCATTTGGGCGATTCTTTTATTTTCCGTTTGAGATTTTGCTGACCATAGTCTAAAGGCAAATGTCAATACTGGCGGTGAGATAGGAATGCATGTGCACACGGGCTGATGGTGCGTGATGTTATGGTGGTGGGAGGGTAGGGCAGTCTCGTTTCACACGGCGGTGACCAGACTAGCGTGACGTGATGCTTAGTTTGCTAATCTCTGTTTAGAGAAAGACTTCGGGTTCGAAGTTTACGGAGCATATTTGCTGTGGCTAAATGTTGGCATTGTAACCCTCCAGTGGACGAATATAGATGCTAAGCAAGCATGAATGTACCCAGGGCAGGAGGGAAAGAACAAGCTGCCTCCCCTCTTGATGTGTTAAGATGGCTTTTGTATGTCATGGACCAGTGTAGAGCTTTGATGAATGTAAAATAGAAAAAAAATACTATTTATTTAATTTTAGATATAATTAAGTGAAAACGGAGTTGACTTGTTGCCAAGTTGCTCGAGCGAACAGCTTGCAAGCGGAAAGTTGTGGATTCAAATCATGCTTAGACGCTAACACGGCCTATCATCCCACTAGGGTCAATAAAGTAATGACCACCTTGTGGGGAAGTGAACAGCCGTTGTCCTATGGATAGACTTTGGCTTGTCATAGGGATTTTCCTTATGGCTCATGGCTGTAAACTGAAGGACCAACATGTCAATGCTGATTTTATTAGCAAATCTCTTCGATTTTCCACTTGTACTCTTATGCTCATTCGGTAGGAAGACAATTTCCTCCCTCTGAAACAACTGGCTGTTAGAGCCTTTACAGCCCCTTGTGTTGTTTTCAGGTTTATGCAATAGCCTCTTCTGACTCTGCTTATGTCAACATCCTCTAGGCCGAAGTAACAGAAGACGACAGCTCAGAAGCGAAGGAGAAGTCTCTGGAAGAGGTCGTAAAGCAGGTAACGTGGAGGGTAACGTGGAGGGTAACGTGGAGGGTGATGGAGAGGGTAACGTGGAGGGTGATGGAGAGAGTAACGCGGAAGGTAATGGAGAGTGACATGGAGGGTAGTGGAGAGTGGCGGTGTAGGAGCGGCATTGCTGCGTGGGCCGTGGTTTGTGCCGTGGCGGTGGACGTCTGTGTCCTTGTTTCTCGCCACAGACGTCCCGGGAGATGGTAGCCAGGTGCGCCGCAACAATCGTGTCCCATCCTTTTCACGGTAAGTGACTGACTGGGTCGTAGAGTGACTTCGAGGTGAGCGAGTGGGTGACTGAACGGGTGACTTGTTTGATTCCCAAATCGGGAGCCTTTCTGTGTAGAGTTTGTACGTTCTCTCCTGTTTCTGGGTTCCTCCTGTAGCTGAAACCCATACAATGTAACTGGTGTTGGCCAAACATTACAATGCTGAAAATGTACACTGCACATCTCTCAATTGGGATTCCACATGGCAGCAGCAGCAGCAACATAGCCCCCTCCGGTGTAAACTTGGTAGGAGCCTCCTGGAGAAGAGCTCTGGCTTGGTGAGGCTTTCCTGGCTTAACAAGCCTAATAATAAATAAATAAAATAAGGCCCCACGGTCTAATGCTCACCGCTGTGAATTGTCGCTTCAGTAATCTCCATGCGCTGCATGGTGCAGTTCATCGGGAGGGAGGTGAAGTACACGTGAGTGATCTGCTCCGCACCCATCCTTATATCATCACTGTAACATGAACACTCGGTGTTCGGCCAGGGAGCCGGGGGTTTTATGATTCACGTGAACGTGTTTGTGTCTTCCTTCAGCGGTGTCTTCAATTCCCTCGGAGTCATGTGGAGGGAGGAGGGCATCATGGGCTTCTTTGCGTGAGTGGTTTAAGCGGAGCGCACGTGAAGCGTGAGGCACGTGGAGCATGCAGAGCCCATGGGACACGCGCGGCGTGGGCCTCATGGAGCACGTGGATTTAACAGAGCTCGTGTAGATCACAGGTCACGGTTATACGCAGCACATAATTAACATCAGCTATTTGGACAATTGTTGGAGCACAAGGCTATCACGAAGGAGGCACTGCTATGTTTCGCACGCACAGTCTCTAGGAGTTTCACATTCGGGGGCAATGTTTCTCTGCACATTCGCTTTTGAATAATACGCAGAGTAATTTTCCGAGTTCGGCAAATTTGAACCATGACGCCAGCACGCAATGGCCTACTCCTTTCGAATGAACTCAAGTGATCAGTAATGTCCACTGTGAAGTTGATGGCGTACGGTATATTACAGTTAATCATACACCTGCAGTAATAACCAGGGTAGCCTGCCTTGTTCTAACCGCGAGTCTCTGCCGCTCGCTTGTATCACCACGTCCGCTCTCCCGGTTCCAGGGGCCTCGTTCCACGCTTGCTGGGAGACATCATCTCCCTGTGGCTCTGCAACATCCTGGCTCACCTCATCAACACCTACGCTCTGGACGGCACCGTGAGTCACGTACAACTACTCACATCCCAGCCTCTGCCACAGCCACTTGTGTGAGAGTCTGTATGTAGGTGTGTAAAAATACATTGATTTATCAATTAAAATAGATGATTAAATTCATGTGTGATGGCCCTGAATTGTGACAATTGTGGGGTGTTCCTGGAATAATGCGATCACCCACACAGTCTCGTTGCCCAGGAGGGTAGAGGCTTTTTCTTAAGGGTAGGCGGATTACGTGCGCGAAGAGAGTGAATACTAAGTTGATTGTGTGGCCGTCTGTGGGTAGGTGACACCCAAGCAACACTCACGAGTGCATGATGACACTATCCACTATACATACATGCTGTCAACGTTTTCCTGGGCAGCATTTGTTAAATTACTTAGCGGAATTAATTGTTACCTACTTACTCGTCTGCCTGCCACGTGGACCTAACTTGCCACAGTCATGCACATCCCATTCCACCTGGCACCAAATCGCATCTCATGCTACCCGCCACCTTGTTTACTCAACACTGCCCCTCGCTCTCCACACCATGAACGCCTCACCTGCCACGGCCACGCATGCCTCACCCATCACGCCATGCACGCCTCATCCGCCCCCCATGAGAAGTCACAGTGGAGAGTTCCTCCGACGGGTTTCTGCGGTGGTGACGTGACACCCGCTGTTTCTGTGCAGCATCCGCAGGCCAAGGAGGTGAAGGGCTACACCCAAGCCATCACCGGGGTGAGTGCGACGCCTTCTTATTACAACTGCCTTCTGTTGCTGGCCGCTTGACGTTTTGAGCCTTTGGAAGGGGGTGGGGGGTTCCGGCGTTTATGCGTCAGCCCCGTCCGCCTATAACGGAGGAGGGCACGATCACTCGAGTGTAAAGTTGTGATGCGATTAGCGACTTGCCCGAGAGAGAACTCGGGCAACGGATCGAATGGTGGTGCCTACACCCTCCCTGGCCGAGCCGATACCCAAGCCCCACCGCGGCCTGCAGGCGAACCGCTCCCCACTCGCCTGGCACGAGTGCGACCGTTATCGTCGCCTGTTCAATATTGCCGAGGACAAGCTAAAGTTGGAAAGCGTTACGGAGTCCGCGTACGTGCGTGATTTCTCTCCCTCGTTTGCTTTTTGCAGTTCTTCGCCAGCATCGTGACCTACCCCTTTGTGCTGGTGGCCAACCTCATGGCCGTCAACAACTGCGGGTGAGTGGAGGGGGCGGCCAGGCCGGGGCACCCGTGTGCTGGCCAGGTCGTCTTTACAAGATCGTGAGCTCACAAGGTTACGTAATTGTGTGCTAGTGTAAAATGCTTATTGTGAGGCTCCCAAGGGCACGGGGTTGTGAAGTTGTGAGATCATTGTGGTTGTGAGAGTTTGAGGTGAGATTTAGAGGTTAATTTTATGGCATCCTGAGGTCATGAGATCATGATGCCATGTGGTTATGAGATTGCCGGGTTGTGAGGTGACGAGGTTGTGTAACCGTGATTTTGTGAGGCTGTGAGATTCCGAGGTCCCTAAGTGGACGTCTCTCTGCGTGACGCAACATGCCCATGTGCCGCCCGCAGGCTTGCCGGGGGCTCCCTGCCCTACGCTCCACCCTACTCCAATTGGCTGGCATGCTGGAGCAGCCTCAGCACTCAGGTGAGCCTCCTGCTCCCGTGCCTGCCATGCCGCCCTCTTCCCGTGACCGCCGTGCTGACCGGGACAGACATGATCTGTGATGAGAGTACCAGAGAATTGTGCTGCCTGTATGCGAGTTTGCAGAATGCGTGTTGGTGGTGGAGGTGGTGTTTGTGCGTTATGGTCGAGTTGAGGCCGTAATCTGTGATTGTCACTGTGTGGTCACGTGTGTGTGGAAGTGGTGACGTGATTGCCTGTCTGTGTACGTGTGCTCCGGGCCCTGCAGGGACAACTGAAGCGTGGATCGAGCCTGTTCTTCCGCAAGGCCGTGCTGAATTCAGACTTCATGTATTTGGAGTGAGCAACCTCTCGCTACTGCTGGGCTGTGGCGGGCTTTCATGTCACCGTGCTGTTTTGCCAGAGGGGGTCTGGCATCGGCCGTTAAATCTGGGGCAAAGTAACGTCAGCAGGGAGACATTTTGTATCGAACAACGGACCACGCAGTTGAGACTAAAATTAAACATCTTGTTTTTTGTTGTTATTTTGTAATTAAGACAAGCCCAGTGCGTCCCGTATGACTGATTTCTGCCTGTTGCGTGGAGTTTAAGGTATCATGAATAAACATTAAAAGGTGTCTTGCCATCTCGCTGTGTGTGTGATGTGGCTGTGTGGCACGCTGCGCTATGGATCAACCGATTAGAGTTCGATTGCCCCTCACGGGGAACACCGGTGACGATTATCTGAACCAGTCCTCGGTTTCCCCTAGGTTGACTCGGTATCAAATGAGTACCTGGTGCGGTGTGTCGCGATCGCCACTGGTGAAGACAAAGACAGCCAGGCAGGGTGTTGACCACCCAACCCCCTCGTGTGCTATGCCACCCTTCATAGGTGCTTGCCAACAGCACTTGCCTTAACAGTCTGTTGAGGCTACACGGGGGATCCTTGGTGGCTGCACGACTTACACCTGCCACGCAGATTTACCTCACGAAATTACCAGGATTGTTATATTAAAATTCAGTCCAAATATAACAGAGTTGCTGTCGTGCGTCGCGATGTTACGTGTTGCATGATTTTGCACGTTCAGGGCAGATACATCAATCTCATCTCTTGAGCGTTTGTGAAATATTTCTACATTTTTTCAGAAAATCTGACACTAAACCATCAATGTTCAGTCATTAAGAGTGCACCCGAAGCAGAGTACATCACAAGTACTCACATTCACTCTGGTGAAACATATTGTTAGAAACTTGAACCATAATTCAAAGATTAATGTTAATTATTCGCTGTTAATAGATCAATATAATTTGCCCTTTTTCAGAGAAACTCGTAACCTCTTACATTTTTGCCCAAAAATGTGTTTCATCTTCACGTAGAGTCCGTCTGGATCGATGCAACTCTGTTTGAGTTGAAGGGTACAATGACACTGGCTATGTTAAGAACGAGCGATCCACAGCAGGACTTGGAAAACCTACGTCGGTATCGGGATTCCGTATGGGGGGTTCTGTATCCGGGGTATCATATCAGCACGGTGTGGAAGAAAAGAGCAGAGTCAGGATTAAATCTTGACTTAAAGCCTTCGTGACTGCAGGAATTCATATTCATTGGGTCTTTCGGTAAAGTCACGGAAATTGAAAAACTAATAAAAATATCACGACGTTTCGATCGCAACACAAGCATTCATAACGATTGCTTGTGTTACGATCGAAACGTGATCATCTTTTTATTATTATTTCTATCTACGTGACTTTACCGAAAGACCCAAAGAATAAGAGTCAGGATTGCTTGAACCAACGCTTGTGAAACTGCGAGACGCAATCGGTAAGAACCTGCGCTGTTAGGTATGGGTCGTAGTTTAAATGCACAATTACATAATATTGGACAAACAAAACTGTGGATGCAAGTGGACGTGACCGTAATCAGAACCTCATGGTTGCCAAGCGGAGCGCGTGAGTCAACCAGGTCTCTGGTTCAAACCCCACCCCTCCTTGGTTAAGATCAGGGATGCATGCGGATCAAAAACTCAGGGGAACACGTTTTGCATAATCAATTTCAAAAATAACATCCATAAGATTAACTACCAGGCCCACGTAGTGCGGTGGATAGGCACAGCTTCCTTTGAAGACGCTTGCTGGAGATGGACCGGGTCACGATGCTTGTCCATCGCGTAACGAGGTCGTTCAGTTAACGTCATGGCCTAGCCACACTGCACCGCGCTGTGCTGCGATCATAATCCTAGAATCTCACCCAAGTCCAGAAGGAAGCTGCTGTGCAAACTGGAACAACGCGGATGACCGGAATAAACCCCTCATTCGAGACTCGAACATCGCACATGCTGCCTTGGACCCATTCCTCCTCGGAGACGCTGGTGGAACCATCAACTGCATCAGAACATCAGCAGGCGGATGCACACCTCTTCTTCATGTGTGGACAATTCAAGACAAGCCACTGCATTGCGATTGTGGCCATGCAACCCAAACTATGGACCGCTAACTGAACCACTGTGGGGTCTGCCCTCTTTCGATTGAGGAACAGCAAAACTGCACGAACTCTCTCGCCTGAAAGCCCTCTCGTCGCGATATTGTCAGTGAGCTATTACATTGCCATGATACCCGCCATGCCATTAATGTAACGAGATGACATTATCACTCACATATGCGCACTGAGATTATTAACGCCACGTGTAGCCCTGTGGCACTGTGGGTGAGTGGAGAGTACGTGAGGCTGCTTACTTCGAGTCCCGGGTTCAAATCCAGCTTGATTTTTTTTCCTTGCCGAATCTTAAAACAAAACCACGCTCAGCGATTTTTTTATTTCATAGATTTTTTTTTTATATAAAAAAAGAAAACTAAAACTGCAATGACGATATTAAGACGACGATTTAATAACCAAAACATTCACAGCACCCACCATGCCTTCTTGGTATAATGGAGAGGACGGCTACCTCTGAGGTGGCTCACCCAGGTTTAAATCCCCCAAATTACTTTTGCTAATTAACATGTTACGCGATGACGTCATCACGCGTGTTTATAACAGCCACGTGTGCGCAGTGCAACAACGACACGCACAAAGCAGCGAGTGTCTGTGTGAGGACTTGGTGGCTCTCGGCGCTGCACAGACATCCCTGGAGTCCGCAGGTGACGGGTTCGAATCCCCCGGCGCGCGGTGAATATTACAGATGATATTACAGATGAATACCTCTCGCGTGAACTGAGTGATGTAATGCGTTGTATATATGTTCCTCGTCTCTGTGTGCAGTAATCCTGTGTGAGTGCTTCTCTGCGTAGATGCGGACAGGAGATTGGGGTCGAAGGCGTGGACAACCAACCGACCTCGACCTGGGAGGATAGGATGGGAAAGAAATGAAATTTTTTTTTGTAAATATCACCAACACACTTTGACCACTAGGGGGCGCTGCTCCACCGCTAGGGGCGCTGTTTAGCGCTAGGGGGCGCTGTTCTATGCAGATCCCCATTGAAAGTGCCAGTTTATCGAAAAATAAACGCATTTACGCCGGTTGTTGGGGGTATTGCAGCTGTACGCTGTGCTTTGATGCAGAATCTCGGTGGAAACTCCACACGCAACGAAAAATCAGTAAAAGTGGCATTTACAATGACCACGCAGACAAGGTTTCAGTGCAATTTGGCACTAAAAGCTGCTATTTCTACAAAAGAATACGACCACAAACACAATTTGCCTGAGAAAATTCCGTGAAATGTTATAAAACCGGCTACATCTGGCTGCTTATATCTTTAAAAAAAAGTAAAACACTTAAATATTGTAAAAAAATCGCAAGACCCACCACGGATTGTAAAATGCACTCATCCAGCAGTGGATTTGCGATATTACTGCACAGACAGCGACCAGTCACGGGTTATGAATATTTCTGACTCCACGCAGCTCTTTAAAACCCACGAGGGTTACGGGTAATAACCTCTTTCACAGCAACATTGTTCGTAAGCAAACAACCACGGCGTCTAAAAGGCAAGAATCAACTTCAAGTTCTCAACTCCAATTGCGAGCATCACAGCGAGTGAGCAACACGAGGAGACCACCCTCCTCTCCCCGTCTCTCCCCTCTCGTCTCGCTCCCCTCCCCGTGCCTCTCCCCCCTCTCACCTGGCTCCACTCCGCTCGCCCGTGGCCCCTCCACTTCAGCGGCCGAGGCGTCCTGGCCCAGACCCCCAGCCAAGCTCCACCCCGCCACGGTGGTGGCTCCACTCCTCTCGGTGGAGCCGCCTCGACCCCGAACGCCACCGCCAAGGCCCCTCCCCCTGTCCGGGCGCGAGCTGAGCGCCGCCTCCCCCTGCGACTCTCTCCACAGAGCGGCGCCCCTCTCCCAGTCCCCTCCTCCTCCCCCCTCCTCCTCCTCCCCCCTCCTCGCGTGCCTCCTCCGCCTCCTCCTCCTTCCCCCTCCTTCCCCCTCCTCCTCCCCCCCTCCTCCTCCTCCCCCCAGCGTCTGTTCGCCGACTCGAGACGCAGCCGCACGTCCGCGGGGCGCTGCTCGAACTCCACGCGGGCGCTGCGGCTGCCCCGGGGAATTCTTCGCTGCGAGTGTCGCCCTCCGGTGGCGCGGGACACGCGGAGCCACTGAGTTGAGGGCGGAGCCACTGAATGTCGATTTAAAGCTTTCGTGACTGCAGGGATTCATCTTCTTGGTTCTTTCGGTAAAGTCACGTAGAATGGAAATAATAAAATAATAAAAATAAAACATAATAAAATACAATTCTCACGACGTTTCGGCCACAACGCAAGCAGCCGTCCTCAGGTGGAGAGCAGGTCTGTCGGGGAGACAGCGTCTGAATGAAACACCACCACGCTTGGAGCGTATATTTAAGCTGGGTTGGAAGGGGGGAAGGGCGCCTTGACAAAATAATTTGCATATCAAGAGGCATTTAGCATATTTATGGAAAATGCAGGTATGTGATTAGTACTACTTGTGAAATGCGTAGGAGGTGGGCGGGGGGTTTCAAAGTCATATTATGCCCGTGCATTATGCAGGATTAGCAGCATCAAAGGGGTAGCATTAATAAAGGGAAGGAATGTTAATAGTATGTAGCTGCAGTAACTAAACAACCACGTAAAAAACTAAAGTATAAACTACATAGTATAATCAGTATACTAAATATACTCTCCAATAAGCTGAGCTACTAACAGTAAGTAATACATTACAATTCTATGTCGCAAAAAATATAATATGCTTCCAGCTAAACTTTTTTCCCTTACGTCACACGGGTCTATCCCGTACCAATAATAATAGTACAATTTGTAACGCGCGCAAATTTGCAGACGTAGTGGCCGCAACTCAGAGGCGCGGAGCCAAGCTCAGAGTCGCTCAAAAGCATGATTGTAGAGGTGAGTTTTTAAGTGTCTCTTGAAGGAGGCGATTGAGGTGATGCTGCGAATGTGCAGAGGGATATCGTTCCAGACTGTTGGGGCTGCCACCGAGAAGCGGCGCGTAGACATGACCATCCTGGATCTTGGTATCGAGAGGAGGTCGTGAGTCGCGCTGCGCAGGCATCTGCCGTGTGCTGAGCTGCAAGTTGTCAATAATGAAGAAAGGTACGGCGGGCAGGCGGATATGAAGGCATTGTGGCAGAGGCAGGCGGTCTTGTATGTGACCCTACTGGCGATGGGGAGCCAGTTGAGAGCGCGGAGACGAGCTAGTGAGTCGAGGCGGGGATGAGTGTGGGCAATGACGACGCGTGCTAGGTTATTTTGTAGTCTTTGAAGCTTCTTTAGGTTGCCAGCGGAGGTCCGGACAAGAACGGAGTTACAATAGTCAAGGCGAGACCCAACTATGCAACATGCCAAAGTGTTGGCAATTTCAGTAGAGATGAGAGGACGTATGTGTCTAAGAGCCTTCAGGTGAAAGTTACATGAGCTGATGATATGGTTGGTTTGACGGTCGAAGGATAAAGTTGAATCTAGGATGACACCGAGGTAGCTGAAGTGGTCGGTGAACTTGATGCTGTGACCGAAGATGTGTATGTGTGGGGAGTGCTGCTGAATTGAGACGTTGCTTGGTACCTAACATGATGGCCACTGACTTTTTCGGATTAAGGGCTAGGTTGTGTGCAGTGAACCATTGTTGCACGGCGGCGGTACATTCCGAGAGCCTCTCGAATCAAGATGCGTTGCTATAATCGATGGCGGTGAATAGAATCGTGTCATCCGCGTATGAGTGATGCTTAACACCGAAGCTTGCAATGAGCCGGCCGATCGGGGAAGTGTAGGCTGTGAAGAGCAGGGGACCTAGAACAGAGCCCTGGGGAACCCCGCATAATGCTGTTGTTTCACGCGATGTGGACATGCCCACCCTGACTGAAAATTGCCGGTCAGAAAGGTACGAAGCTATCCACTTGAGTGCTGAGCCGCATATACCGAAGTCGGATTTCAGGACGGAAGTAAGGAGCAAATGGTTGATGGTGTCGAAGGCTGACGAAATGTCCAGACTTACAAGTGCAACAGTTGAGCCGGAATCAACGATCGTTAAAATGTCATCGAGCACCCTAGTGAGTGCTGTTTCTGTGGAATAGTTTTGACGGTAAGCTGACTGGAAGTAGCAGTAGTTTGCGGAGGAGGTGACGTGTGGTTGTAGCTGGGCGAGGGCTAGTCGTTCAAGGAGTTTAGAGAGGTTCGAGAGGTTACTATATGCTGCCATAGACAACCCCAACATTAAATTATATACTGTATTACTATACACCACCCTATACCTTAGAATAATACATAGTGTAATATTACACTATGTATTATTCTATCCACCCTACTGTATATCACACTGCTGTATATTCACTATACAATTACGATACTATATATTGCCTTATACATTGTATTAAACATTACAATTTTATACTATTTATTATTATACAATCTGCTATACACTATACCAATGACCGTCGAGTGAAAGAGGCTCCACGTGCAGGGTCTCCAGAATCCACGTGCAGGGTCTCCAGGCTCCACGTGCAGGGTCTCCAGGCTCCACGTGCAGGCTTCATGTGCAGGGTCTCCAGGCTTCATGTGCAGGGTCTCCAGGCTTCATGTGCAGGGTCTCCAGGATCCACGTGCAGGGTCTCCAGGCTCCACGTGCAGGCTTCATGTGCAGGGTCTCCAGGCTCCACGTGCAGGCTTCATGTGCAGGGTCTCCAGGATCAACGTGCAGGGTCTCCAGGCTCCACGTGCAGGCTTCATGTGCAGGGTCTCCAGGCTCCACGTGCAGGGTCTCCAGTCTCCACGTGCAGGGTCTCCAGGCTCCACGTGCAGGGTCTCCACGTGCAGGGTCTCCAGGCTTCATGTGCAGGGTCTCGATGTTGTATATGCACGGAGCTGTGTGGCCCCACATCGTCTGCATTTGAATCGCCCATCTCACTGCGGTGACTGTCCTCTAATTCGCTGACTCGCCACCCCTTCACGACCTTCACGACCTTCCCGGGGACACCGCGACCCAGAGTCTGTGTCGATACTCTGCGGTCCCGGGAACCTCCCACAATCTACGCAACCTCTCACCCCAGCCCGGAGTCGAACCGAGACGCCAGAGCTTTTTAGTCGTGCTCGACCGGCGTGGTGAAGCTGTTGAAATAACTCACCTGGCCGGTTTTGCGGGTTCCTTACCTGTGTCCGGCTGGACCACGTGTGTGCCTGTGTGTACAACATCAGTGACGACACCGGTACAAATGATCGTCACCGGTGTTGGCAGTGAGCGGGAATCGAACTCGGGTTGCCAGGTCCGAAGCGCAGCGCGGTTACTGCTGTGCATAAGGTACACACACACAAGTTTATGACTCAACACACACGTGGCCTTACGTCACCATGTAGGATGGATCAGACTCGTCTCCCATTGAGTTTCAGACGTAGGGTTAGAGGTTTCCTCGGACCGCAGAGTATCTGCACAACCGGTTAGACTCCGGGCTGTGGCGTCTGCGGGACGTGTCCAGGTGAAGACAAATCATGGAACAGTCACCACATGCGTAGCCACTGCGATAGGAGATTGAAACAGAGGCGATGCGGGACGCCATGGGAATTCAATGAAGAGACAACAATACAGCCAGAGCCACACAGTCCCGTGCGTACAGCGCCTGGAGCCTGGAGACCCTGCACATGAAGCCTGGAGACCCTGCACATGGAGACCCTGCACATGGAGCCTGGAGACCCTGCACGTGGGGCCTGGAGACCCTGCACGTGGGGCCTGGAGACCCTGCACGTGGATCCTGGAGACCCTGCACATGGAGCCTGGAGACCCTGCACATGGAGACCCTTGCACATGGAGACCCTGCACATGGAGACCCTGCACATGAAGCCTGGAGACCCTGCACATGGAGACCCTGCACATGAAGCCTGGAGACCCTGCACGTGGGGCCTGGAGACCCTGCACGTGGAGACTGGACAGGGGAAGGGGCCTTGGCAGTGGCGGTCGGGGTCGAGGCGGCTCCACCGAGAGTAGTTGAGCCACCGAGGCGGGGTGGAGCTTGGCTGGGGGTCTGGGCCAGGACGCCTCGGCCGCTGAAGTGGAGGGGCCACGGGCGAGCAGAGTGGAGCCAGGTGAGAGGGGGGAGAGGCACGGGGAGGGGAGCGAGACGAGAGGGGAGAGACGGGGAGAGGAGGGTGGTCTCCTCGTGTTGCTCACTCGCTGTGATGTTCGCAATTGGGGTTGAGAACTTGAAGTTGATTCTTGCCTTTTAGACGCCGTGGTTGTTTGCTTACGGCCAATGTTGCTGTGAAAGAGGTTATTACCCGTGACCCTCGTGGGTTTTAAAGAGCTGCGTGGAGTCAGAAATATTCATAACCCGTGACTGGTCGCTGTCTGTGCAGTAATATCGCAAATTCACTGCTGGATGAGTGCATTTTACAATCCGTGGTGGGTCTTTGCGATTTTTCGACGATACTTAAATGTTTAACGTTTTTTAAAGATATAAACAGCCAGATGTAGCCGGTTTTTAGAACATTTCACGGATTTTTTCTCAGGCAAATAATGTTTGTGGTCGTATTGTTGTAGAAATAGCAGCTTTAGTGCCCTGAAACCTTGTCTGCGTGGTCATTGTAAATGTCACTTTTACTGTTTTTTCGTTGCGTGTGGAGTTTCCACCGAGATTCTGTATCAAACCACAGCGTACAGCTGCAATACCCCGAACAACCGGCGTAAATGCGTTTATTTGCAGCAAACTGACATTTTCAATAGGGATCTGCATAGAACAGCGCCCCTAGCTTTGGAAGAGCGCCCCCTATTGGTCAAAGTGTGTTGGTGACTTCTACAAATTAATTATTCTTTTTTCTTCCATTCATCTTCTCCTCGCCCTTCCAAGTCTCTCTGCGAGAGTGAGCGCGCATCGCGCGGCTGGCTACGTGCTGACACCACCACCATCATCATCACCACGGTCGTGCTGACACCACCATCATCATCACCACGGTTTTACCCTGGCGATGTTGCAGGTGGCCACGTACGTCACTGCTAATGGGGCTCGTCTGCTGTTTGCTTTTAGTTGTATTCTCTGCAGAAGGCGAATTACTCGGTTCACCGATTGTGCACTTCAAGTGTTCGGCACGAGGCCTGAGAGCAGAGTGGATGTCCAGCAGGTTCACGCGGCCCAGCGGTGGCGTGCTCGCCACTCGATACAGAGGTTCACGGAGAGCGCTCCGTGACGTGGGGCTCCCCAAAGCGCGAGGCCCGGGGTGGCCGCCTCGATTTGCCGTTCCCTCGGGACGGCTCTGGGTTCATACCACGCCGCCATCGGCTTTGCGAGAGTGCCGTGACGCGTGGCCACGAGCACGCAGCGTGGCGTAGCTTGCAGCGTGCAACGCTTCCGAGAATGTGACCATTATTTGCTTAGAGAAGAATATAAAACGTTCACCTTTCAGTAATGTCTTGGCACGGAATGAAAATGTGGTTACTTTGAGGAGTTGTGACCAAGATCGGCACTGCGCTCCGTGTGCGTTGCTGCGAGCCCGCTGCAGTCGTGCGTCCAGACAACAAGAAATATCGGCGCAGACAAAACCTCCGCATTGACGGGGTTTTTTAATAATTGCAAACGATTCCCTTAATTCCATAAACAGAACAGCAACGTCAACTTTTAGCCGATTAAAACTTGAAAACGTTATCCGATTAACACTCCCGGCCAGTTTCACTTTAATCTTCAACCTCCTCTCTGTGGCCCAAACTCGAGACGCTCGCAGTCGTACTCACTCAGTCATGCTAACTCAGTGGTACTAACTCAGTGGTACTAACTCAGTCGTACTAACTCAGTGGTACTCAGTGGAACTAACTCAGCGGTACTAACTCAGTCGTGCTAACTTAGTGGAACTAACTCAGTGGAACTAACTCAGTGGTACTAACTCAGTCATACTAACTCAGTGGTACTAACTCAGTGGTACTAACTCAGTGGTACTAACTCAGTGGTACTAACTCAGTCGTACTAACTCAGTGGTACTAACTCAGTCGTGCTAACTCAGTGGTACTAACTCAGTCGTACTAACTCAGTGATACTAACTCAGTGGAACTAACTCAGTGGTGCTAACTCAGTCGTACTAACTCAGTGGTACTAACTCAGTGGGACTAACTCAGTGGTACTAACTCAGTCGTACTAACTCAGTCGTGCTAACTCAGTGGTACTAACTCAGTCGTACTAACTCAGTAGTACTAACTCAGTGGTGCTAACTCAGTCGTTCCACAGTTCCGTCTTCTGGTTGTCGTGTTGCGGGGCCTCAGGCTGCGATGGTCACTCACGACGGCCTCACTCTCGCCAACGACGTCACGCGGCCATAACATTCGCTCGGCGTTGTTGGGATTCTCCCGCTACTGGAGCGGGACTCGAACCATCGCAGTCGAGCTCGGCGGCCGAGGGGCAAGGAGGCGCCGGCGCCGTGCGTCTCCTCCGGCGAGGACCCCGCGGAGGTGAGGCGCTCCCAGGCGCTCCCAGGCGCTCCGCCGTCACGGCGCTCCCAGGCGCTCCCAGGCGCTCCCAGGCGCTCCCAGGCGCTCCCAGGCGCTCCCAGGCGCTCCCAGGCGCTCCCAGGCGCTCCGCCGTCACGGCGCTCCCAGGCGCCCTCTCGCGAGTGCGGCCATGATGGCCGTGCGACACGCTCACCGCTCTTCAGCCGAGACGGCGCCGATGAGCCACAGCACCGGGGAAGGGGATGTGAGGGGGTTAGAGGGGGGGTTAGAGGGGCAGTTAGAGGGGGGGTTAGAGGGGGGGTTAGAGGGGGGGTTAGAGGGGGGGTTAGAGGGGGGGTTAGAGAGGGGGTTAGAGAGGGGGTTAGAGGAGGGGTTAGAGGGGGGGGGTCAGAGGGGGGGGTCAGAGGGGGGGTCAGAGGGGGGGTTAGAGGGGGGGTCAGAGGGGGGGGGTCAAAGGGGGGGTTAGAAGGTGGGGGGGTTGGAGGGCGGAGTGGCCCCAGTCACGAGCTGCGTCCATGTGGCCGTGGTTCTGCTGCCGTGCCGTCCGTCCTGCCCACCCTGCAGCACACGGCGGCACAACCCTCACCCCTCACCTACAACCCTCACCCCTCACCCACAACCCTCACCCCTCACCCACAACCCTCACCAAACTCACCCCTCACCCACAACCCTCACCCCTCACCCACAACCCTCACCTCTTACATCACTCTCAACCCTCACTCACAACCCTCACCCCTCACCCAACTCACCCCTCACCCACAACCCTCACCCAACTCACCCCTCACCCCTCACCTCTTACATCACTTTCACCCACAACCCTCACTCCTCACCCAACTCTCAACCCTCACCGGACACCAAACTAAACACAAAAAGCAGTTCTAGAGCAATTCGTCTTAAATTTAGATTTCAAAGTGCATCGTTCCAGTGGCTTCCTCATATAGGAAGGAGCCTCACTGCGTTGAGTCTCTTTATTCTTCCCCTGTTCTGCGTGGGTTTCCTTCCTCATCTGAAGCTGGTGTTAGACAAACGTCCCAGCGCCAAGAACCGTCCTGCAGGTCACTCAGCCGAGTTATTGGGGTCCTGCCGCGTCTCCGCAGGAGAGGGCGATGTCGCTGGGGTCACACACGGCGGCGAAGGCGCCCCCCTACCGCGGACACTCGGCAGGACCCCCTCGAATAAGAGTCTCGAGACTCGGGCGAAGATTCCGTGCGTGGGCGAGCGACGCGATAGCGATGAGAATGCGGCGCGCGACGAGGCGGCGACGTACCAGCACGGCTCCTCCGCGTCTCCCGCGGGCGCCCCCGTTGCCCCGCGCGGGGCACGCTGCCCGGCCTCTGCGGAGAGGCCCGGGGCCCCGGTGACGGTGACGAGGGCCCCCCGGCCCGGCTCCCTCGTCGCCGTGGGGCTCAGCCTCCCGGCGAACGCTCTCCCCGGCGCCGGCTCCTTCGGCTGCTGCTGTTTCCGCCCCCGCTCGGGGGTTCCCGCGTCACCCGAGCCGATGGCACCCAGTGGCCTGGGGGTGCGCGATAGGGGACCCATCCTGTGGCGGTGTGGAGGGTAGAGGGAGTGGTACGGTGGGGGTGTGGGGGGGGAGGGGTGCGTACAACCCATTACCCAAAGATGCTGCAGACGGGCACGCTGTGCGGTAGATACTCGGTATTTAAGGCTGAGTTGAACTAGGGGAGGCCCGGTCATGCATATTCGCGCAGGTACACACACGCGCGCACTAACCTGTGTGTGTACACATGGACACACATAGGCACGCACGCAGAAACACAAAGGCAGAGAAAGATTCCCCCGTATAGCCTACGCAGACTTGGGAAAGTGCTGTTTGTGAGCACTTGTTACAAAGCCAAAGATCCTCCTTATAACCTGAACCGACTTTTGGGGCAAGTGCTGTTAGCGAGCACCTACCTAAGTATGTATGGTGAACTTCTTTCGCACCGTACATAGGCAAACGTGCTCATCAGAGGTGTGGTGGAAAGACAATACGCTAACCAGAAAAAGCAGTTCCAAACAAATTAGTTCAGAATATGATCAAATGTTTTTACCCTTTTATCTGGCAACAAAACTGACACCTTTTTGACAAGGAGTCATGTTTGCATAGACCACAATACCTGCAGTTGGAATGCAAAGAAAAAACATAACTCTGATAATGTAGGCACTGTCCTTGAAGTTGATTGGTCCACACCTGAGACAGCTTTCCTTAGAGCCTAGTCTCACATGGTGTTGGACCAGAGCCTAGTCTCACATGGTGTTAGATCAGATGGTCCAACACCATGTGAGACTAGGCTCTGGTCCAACACCATGTGAGACTAGGCTCTAACACCATGTGACACTAGGCTCTAAGGAAAGCTGTCTCGGGTGTGGACCAATCAACTTCAAGGACAGTGCATATATTATCAGAGTTGTGTTTTTTGTTTGCATTCCGACCGCAGGTATTGTGGTCAATACAAATATGACTCCTTGTCAAAAAAGGTGTAGTTTTGTTGCCAGATAAAAGGGTAAAAAAACAATTATCATATTTTTCTACTGGCAAATGAGGTTCCAATGGTAGTTCAGAATAATTTACATTTATTTGGCAGGCCCTTCCAAGAATGTCTCTATTAAGACCGGCACGGCACACAAGGGGATGGTGGCCCATACCATGCTTGGACGAACACCTTTGTCTCCCTAGTTGCGAGTTTTACATACCGCATCAGGTACTCATTTGAGCCTGAGGCGACCTAGGAAATGCCCAGGACCGTTTCAGATATTTGTCACTCGTGTTGGCCGTGAGTGGGAATCGAACTCGGCTCGCTGGGTTCGAAGCATAGCCCGCAAACCGCACCCACCCGCGTACACACACCCACGTACACACACACACACGTTCACCCACGTACACACACACACACGTTCACCCACGTACACACACACACACGTTCACCCACGTACACACACACACGTTCACCCACGAACACACACACACGTTCACCCACGTACACACACACACACGTTCACCCACGTACACACACGTTCACCCACGTACACACACACACACGTTCACACACACACACGTTCACCCACGTACACACACACACACACGTTCACCCACGTACACACACACACACGTTCACCCACGTACACACACACGCGTGTACACATGTCACTCACCGCACGGAGGCGGGTCGCTGCGTGGCCGGCAGGAGAGAGAGCGGCTCCCTGCTGCTCCTCTGCAGCCGTCCTGCGGAGGCAGCGAGCGCTCAGCGAGGCCGCGCGGGACCCCCTTGCCCGCTCCCCGTGGGGCCCCCCTCCCGGCTCCCCGCTGGGCCCCCCGCTGGGCCCCCCTCCCGGCTCCCTCTATTAAATGTGCCCCCCCTCCCCACCCCCCACCAGCCGGTCCCACCGCGAGGAGCGACGCTCACCGGAGGACAGGAAGCCGCTGGCCTCCTCCAGCCAGGGATCGAAGGGCAGCGGGTGCTGCCTGATGGCCGTGCGGGGGGGGCGGCGGGGATTCGGGGGCAGCGCGGTCGTCATGGAGACGGGCAGGACCAGCTGCCCCCCCAGCAGCATGCGTCGACGCGACGAGGGCGCCATGTGACGAGTCACGTGACGCAGGCTCAGGCCGCTGCCCTCCCACTGCACACCTAGGGGGGGGGCCCCAGCAGAGAGGCCGCTTTTAACGCGGGCAGCTCCAACCACACGCTCGCACAACGACAACCGCCATCCGCCACGAAGTGGCGGCGACATTACTACGGCGCTTGAGCCACAGACGCACACACGCATACACGCACGCTCACACACACGCACGCTCACACACACACGGTCGTGGGCCACTCACTTCACAATGATCATCGTCCCAACACCCCCTTCAGCTCGAACCAATCACGGGCTGAAGCTTCTGTGTTGGCAGTGGTGAACAAGCAGGATAACAACTCGACGCATTTGTCAATAATAACACCACCGCGTGTTGCCTTCATACAATCGGCGACGATTGGGGCGACACGGTATGATGCTCTCACCCCAGCCCTCCTCCAGCAGGCCGCTCAGGTACTGGGTGGCCAAGGTGCCGTGCGCGGGGCAGAAGTCACCGTGGCCGGGGTCAAGGGTCGGCGTGGCGGCCTGCGTCTGGGCGGACGCTGTGGAAACAATCGGAGAGGGTCGCTCACAGAGACTACTTCGCTGCGGCCGCCATCGCCGCCGCATTCCCAGCCAGTGGGGGGGGGGGGGGGGGCATGGGCACTGGTGCAAGTATTCACACGAGGCCCTCCCACTCCTCTCCAATTGAATTTTATTGAGATTCTGTATGCGATTACCCCCTCAAGCACCCACTCACCTACCCACCCACTTACTGACTTACTAAATAACCCTCTCACCATCCCACTCACTAAATAACCCACTTACCCAGTCCCCATGCCACTCACCCGACCACTCACTCACTAAACCACACGCCCATTCACCCACTCCCTGTCCCCTCTCAGCTCCCAGTGCTTGTCACCACCTTCCCTTCCACTTTATCGCCTGCGCGCAGCCTGCATCAACTGAATTCCTCATCCGATATTTTTTATTTCTTCACGCGACGCAGTTGTTTTTGTCTTGCTTTCTATTTTATCAATTGCTGTATTTTATTTGCGTTTGCCTGGCGGTGACCCGGGTCACTCTCGCGCCAGTACAGTTGCACCGCCCGCACGCTTGCTCACTACGCCACCGGTCTGGGCCCCGCGACACGGCCCGCGAGCCTACCTGCAGCGTCGCGGGCGAGGGTGGAGACGCCGGCAAGGGGGTCGCTCCCCACATACGCCAGGGGGACGCTCGTCTGTGCACCGGGGGGGCCCTGCGGGCAAGTGCCGTTAGCGAGCGGCGCCGATTAAGGCCGACACGGCGGCGCACGAGGGGGTGGGTGGCCAATGCCATGCATCGCACACGGCAGCAAACGCATCGCACCGCACGCACGCACGTACGTACCGCAGCAGATACTGATTTGAGGCCGAGTTGACCCAGGGGAGGCACACACGCAAGGCGTGCGCTCGTGGGAGTGACGTGCAAGCATGAGCCGGGAGCGGCGTGCGGAGCGGCACCTGGGTTGCGGTCGCAGCCACGGCCCCGCCCCGGGCGCCCCCGACGGCGGCCATGACGGTGGTGGCCGGGCCGCTCCTGCGGTAGCGCTGCGTGTGCACCTGCACGCACGGAGCCATGCGCACCTCAGCCCGGCCGCACCCCCCTCGACCCCTGGTCATGCCAACTTCTCCGCAGAGCTCACGGGTCGCGGGGACCGCAGGGCGTTCGTAATCTGGGCGTTCCCCGTGGTGGAACGCGCGAGCGAAGCCCACAGAGCCGAGCGGGGCGCCCATCTTTACACAGACGACTCTACGGCTCGACCCCATGTCACCGCGCGTCCCCAAGCGCTCCGGTTCCCTCCGCGTAATGCTTGGCGCATGTCCCGGTGACGTTTAATGACCGTGGGTCAATCGAGCTGCGAGTTTGGCGACACCGCGCTTTTAGGAGCTGGCATCGCGGCTCTCTCGGCGACCGGATCCGACGATCGCTCCCGCGGCCACGCGGGCTCCGCTCGGACCCTACCTTGTCCGCCTCCTTTCGGCCGACGGGCTCCCCGGCCGCCTCGGCCGCAGCCTCCGCGAAGGCCCCTCCGCTCGGCCGGGTCGTGCCCCGCCGGGGCCCGGCCCGCCGGGGCCCGGCGCTAGGAGGGAAGCCGGAGCCCAGGGCCCCCACGGCCCCCACGGCCTGCAGCAGGCCCAGGCGAGTGCGGTTCCGCTCCTTGCGCGACTTGAGGCGCCGCCGCTTGACGCGCATCTGCACGTCGTCGTAACTATCATCATCACCATGGCCATCATAACTACCACAGTCATCATCACTATCACTACCACCACATTAGGGGAGGTGAAGATGAGGTAGGCGAGGGAGAGGTAGGCGAGGGTGAGGTGAGGCAGGTACCTTAGGCAGCAGCGCCAGCAGGTGTGAGGGCAGCCCATCCGACTGCGAGCTGTCTGAGCCACTCTCGCTGACAAAGACAAAGATCCCCCATTTAGACTTTAGGGGCAAGTGCTGTGAGCGAGCACCTATGAAGGCCGGCGCGGCACGCTCTCGGCCGCCTTGTGGCGACCGCTGCACTACCGCTCCTCACGTCGTCACGCGTCGTCACGCATCGTCACATTCTACGCGTCTCTGCATCTGCGTCTCTGTGTTCCCGTGTCCCCGTGTCTCCGTGTCCCCGTGACTCCTTCTCCCTGTCTCCTCACCTGTGCCACCCCCCACCTGTGCACCTTACCTCAACCTGTGCCCCCTTCCCCTCACCTGTGTCCATCCTCACCTGGACTCGATGTCGGAGAGGCCCAGCCCCCAGGGCCCCCCCCCGTCTTTGCCGAGGTTGCGCATCCGCTCTGTGGCCTGAGCACGCTCCATCACCTCCCGCTCACACAGCTCGACCTGCATCATCATCATCACCACCGCAACATCATCAACTAGCCTCATCTCCTTCCACACTCCCAATCTTCTCTCTCTTTCTCTGTCCCTCCTCCTCCCCTCTACATGAAGGTTACTCCCCTCTACATTGAGCAGTTGCCCGTGCGGATCTGGGAAGACCCAGGGAGAGCCGTGCCGCGAGCCGTCACCTTGGCCTGGTCGGGGTCGCAGTAGTCGAGCAGCGTGTCGCACAGCTGGTACCCCACCGACTTCAGGTCCTCGACGCTGAAGTGCGTGCCCTTGCGCTCCCCTGCGGGCACGGGCGCAGTGGAGGGGGCAGGGTCAGGGGTGGGGGGGTCTTGGAACAGTGGGAACTTCCGTGGTGTGTTGTGGGGGGGGGCGAGGAGGGGGTGGGGGCACCTAGCGTGGAGCCGGCGAAGGTGGTCTCCAGGGTGAAGCTGTTGGCGATGCCCATCCTCCACATGGACACGCGACTCGTGCCCTCCTTGCTCTTCTGTACCTTGAAGCGGCAGCTCTCGTAGGAGAACTGTGCGGGAGACACGACGCCTGGTCAGATCGAAGAGACATGACCCTCTTGTGCACGGTCGGACCGCGCGGGCGCCACGCGGGCGAGCGCCGTCTACGGTTGCGGAAGAGACAAGCGGGCAAAGAGAGAAGAAGCAGAGAGATATGCAGATATGCGAAGAGGTGGACGTGGGGAGCGAGCGAGCGAGCCGGCCGGCGGAGGGCTAAGAGGGTTCCTCGCCTTGTCGGGGATGTTCTTGCTCATCATGAGCGGGAAGACTCGGCCGCTCTGGCCCCCCCGGGGGCCGTGCCCGGAACCCGCCGCGCCCTCGCACCCATACACGAACACGTTGCTCCTGCGGCTGTGGCCGTGAAGGTCGCAGAACATCACCACCTCGCGCTTCTCCAGCAGCCTGGGAGGGCGGGGGCAGCGGGGGGCACAACCCAAAAACGATGGAGAACCGGTAGTCACGGTGTAACGGCGACGATGACAACGGTGACAGTGACGGCGATCATTATGATGATGATAACGAACTTGATGATGACGGTGTTGATGACGATGGTGACGACGGTGGCGATGACGACGATGTTGACGGTGGCGACGATAGCGACGGGTGAGGCGCCGCACCTGCGCACCATGGCGCGCAGGTGCCACACGGGGGGGAAGGCTTCGCGCAGCGCGGTGCGGTAGTTTCGGTTGAGGTCGCGCCCCGAGAGCGAGCAGCGGTAGTTGCCCACGAGCACCCCGTCCGGGTTGAGCATGGGCACCACCTTGAACACGAAGGTGTCGCGTAGGAGCCGCGCGTCCGCCGAGTCGCCCAGCAGGAAGTCGAGCAGCCCCTCCATCACCCACGAGGAGTTGCTCTCCCCGGGGTGGACGCGCGCCGTCACCACCACCGCGCGCTTGGCCCGGCCCAGGAGCGCTGCGCGGGCCCCCCGCTCGGCGGAGCCCCCCACTCCCTCCTCCTCCTCCGCGGCGCCGCCGTCGCGGGCCCCCCGCTCGGGGCCGTCGAGGAGGCGAGGAGGAGGAGGGGGCGCGGGGGACGTGATGGTGAGCACGGGCACGGGGTTGCCCGCCAGCGAGCGGCACAGCACGCGCGTGCGGCAGAGGCGCGCGGCGCGCGGGTCGGCGGCGACACGCGCCAGGCGCGCGGCGAGGCGCGAGTACGTGTAGGGGTAGCAGTGCGCCCAGTAGCACTCGTCGCCCTCGTGCGGGAACGAGAACGTCCACGTGAGCGAGTAGCGCGCCCGCGTCTCCGCCGCTGCCGCTGCCGCGGTCCGCGTGCGGTAGTAGCGGACGTCGGAGCCGGCGCGGCGCCAGCCGAGGGCGAGCGGCCCCGCGGCGTCGCACTCCGAGTAGAAAAGCGGGCGCAGGCCGGCGCCGTAGAGGCTGCGCGGCTTGCCCAGGTTGGTGATGGTGAAGCGGTAGCGGCGCGGGGCGGCGCGCGTGTTGCCCACGCGGAAGTAGAACCACTGCGTGTGCTTGTCTGTGTAGAGGTCCGAGCGCAGCGTGAGCTCGTACTCCCACTCGCCGCTGGGGGGGGGGGAGGGGAGCGCTCGTGTTGGGGGTGGTTTTTGTTGTTGTCACGTGATGACGCCGCCCCCACCTGACGTCTGTGCAAAGAACTCCACAGCTCATCGGATTCCTCCAGGATTCTGATTCTGATTGGATGGTGGTTGTGGTGATTGTCGTAAGAATAGTGGTGGTAGTGATGATGTTAATGGTCCGCACCATCACCGCCGCTCGCTCACGTTCTCTCTCTCACGCTCTCTCTCACGCTCTCACTCCTCTGTCGCGCTTTCGCACTCCCCTCCCCCGTGGGCTCCTCACACTCTCACGGCCTTCTGGAGGTTGCCGCTCTCGAAGCGCGACTCGAACAGGAGGGTGGAGTCGTCGTCCCCACGCGTGGCCGCGGGGGGCGGCACCAGCGGGCCCCGGCGGCCCCCAATCCGCGCCGACACGAAGCAGCGCTCGGAGGAGGCTGCACGGAGAGAGACACGGGGGGACGCGGAGTCGCGGCGGGATGCGGAGACGCGAGGGGACACGGAGTCACCTGTACATCGACCCACCCGCTCACCTTTCTCGATCTCGAACACCACCTCTCCGCTCTCGTCGCCCACGCACAGCGGCTCGTGCTCACGCCCCGTGGCCTCGTACAGCGGCTCGGGCTCGGAGGGGTCCCAGTCTGGGGTCACCGTGCAGCCACGCCACCGTTAACAACAACCAACATAACAAGCAGCACGTAAACACAAACACGCAACAATCGACAAGAACATCAGTAACAGGCGCGTGCTCTCCCTGGCAGGGGTTACCGTGCTGTAACCCTGGTGACCAGGTCGAGGGTGAGCCTCGTGGTGGTGCCGCTCCTGGGTTCCGCAACCCCCCAGATGACCTCCTGATATCTGCACCACGTGACCCTGCAGCCTCCTCACCCTGATCCAATGACCATGCATGTCCCCGACCCTTGCATGTCCCCGACCCTTGATCTTCTGACTCTCACACCCTCCCCCCCCAATTCCTCCGACCCCACGATCTCCCATCTCACTATCTCTCCGTGTTTGCTGACCCCACCATTCCCCCTGACCTGTCCGGCTCACTGACCCCCTGACCCCTCGTGTCCCTCACCTTTCTCCCCCACCTCAACCCCCTAACACGCGTTGACCCTCCTGACCTTATGACCCTCCACGTCCCTAACCTCTCCCACATCGGTCCCCTTACCCTCCTGACCTCCGTGACCCCACGGACCCCCGGTAATCCGCTCGACCTCTCCCTGACCCCCCAGTGCCCCGCTGCACACCTATGTGGGCGACGCGCTCGGGCACGACCTGGCAGTCGAGCGGCCAGCGCGGGGCGTGCGCGGGCAGCGCCGAGGCGCTGGGCGCGGGGCCCTGCAGAGGCTCCCGCAGCCGGGGGGCGCCGGCGCCCTCCTCCAGCACCAGCTGCGTGCTGCGCCACGGCGGGGGGCCCGGCGGACGAGGGCCCGCAGAGGGGCGGCCTGGTGGGGCGGGGGGCGGGGTCAGGAGGTCAGAGACGCGGTTGAGTGTGACAAGGGATCGCGGTATCATTAGGGATGCCGTGGTTGTGGGTCAGGGCTTCATATCTCACAGAATATACAGGGTGCTTAATTTTTTTTTAACACTTATATGGAACTATCATTTTTCCAGGAGAAATAACGGAGAATAAACTGTAACATGATAACAAATGTATGTTAATAACTTAAAATGTCAAAGAGTCTCCACTTGTTCGCCATCAACACGTGCCTGGAATCTTCTCCAGGTGGTCTCCAGAGCCCAGGGGCACATTTCTCGTGATATTGTTGCTAATTCTCAGAAGTGTTCACACTTTTTGAAGCACCCTGTACTTCCCGGATCGGTGGTAGAATGAAGCCGGTACGTAACTCGTAGCCACAGCGGGAGGCATGTATACAGGACGTGGTGTGCCGTGTGTAGCAACATTGTCCTGTCACCAGCCCAGGCAGAGCCGGCTGAATGTAAGCGGTGGTTACGGTCAGGCCTCGGTCCACGGTTATGGTCCAGCGTCGTAACATGTGGTCACCCATTCGTTAGCTCCGTGTCCCTCCCCCCACTACCCCCCCCCCCGCCCCCCACCTGGGGGCCGAGTCCCCTCCTCTCTGCTGTGCTCGGCGAGGGAGCCGGGGAAGGTGGAGCTGCGTGGGGGGCCAGAATTGGGCCCCCCAAGGCCACCTCTGAGCGGAACGCCCCTCGCCTCCTCCTCCTCGTCGTCCTCGCTCCGTCCTGTGGGGGAAGGGGGGGGTGGAGGCCCGCACGTGTTACCACGGCAACATCAATTAGCACGAGTTAAGTGAATTAAGCCACTCCGATTGGTGTGGGTGCTGCAGGGCTTGAGTTTGTTGTGTTGGGGGAGGGTAGCGGGTGGGCTTCGAGTTGGGGGTTAGGGGCGAGGGTTTGGCTGCCGGGGTAATGGTGGAGTCGTTCCGAGGTGTGGGTCGGGTTCGGGATGCGGGGGGGGGGGGTCAAGATTTGGCGTTGTGCGTTAATGCTGGGATGAGTGCGAGGCATGGGCGTGAGTGAGTGTTGATGGTGGTGAGTGTTGATGGTGGTGAGTGTTGATGGTGGTGAGTGTTGATGGTGGTGAGTGTTGATGGTGGTGAGTGTTGATGGTGGTGAGTGTTGAGGATGGTGAGTGTTGGTGGTGAGTGTTGAGGATGGTGAGTGTTGATGGTGGTGAGTGTTGATGGTGGTGAGTGTTGAGGATGGTGGTGAGTGTTGGTGATGGTGGTGAGTGTTGGTGGTGGTGAGTGTTGATGGTGGTGAGTGTTGATGGTGGTGAGTGTTGATGGTGAGTGTTGATGGTAAGTGTTGATGGTGGTGAGTGTTGGTGGTGAGTGTTGAGGATGGTGAGTGTTGATGGTGGTGAGTGTTGATGGTGGTGAGTGTTGATGGTGGTGAGTGTTGATGGTGGTGAGTGTTGAGGATGGTGGTGAGTGTTGGTGGTGGTGAGTGTTGATGGTGAGTGTTGATGGTGGTGAGTGTTGAGGATGGTGAGTGTTGATGGTGGTGAGTGTTGATGGTGGTGAGTGTTGAGGATGGTGGTGAGTGTTGGTGGTGGTGAGTTTTGATGGTGAGTGTTGATGGTGGTGAGTGTTGAGGATGGTGAGGAGTGTTGATGGTGGTGAGTGTTGATGGTGGTGAGTGTTGATGGTGGTGAGTGTTGACGGTGGTGAGTGTTGACGGTGAGTGTTGATGGTGGCGAGTGTTGATGGTGGTGAGTGTTGATGGTGGTGCGTGTTGAGGATGGTGGTGAGTGTTGACGGTGGTGAGTGTTGACGGTGGTGAGTGTTGACGGTGGTGAGTGTTGACGGTGGTGAGTGTTGATGGTGGTGAGTGTTGACGGTGGTGAGTGTTGACGGTGGTGAGTGTTGACGGTGGTGAGTGTTGAGGATGGTGAGTGTTGATGGTGGTGAGTGTTGATGGTGGTGAGTGTTGATGGTGGTGAGTGTTGAGGATGGTGGTGAGTGTTGGTGGTGGTGAGTGTTGATGGTGGTGAGTGTTGATGGTGGTGAGTGTTGATGGTGGTGAGTGTTGATGGTGGTGAGTGTTGATGGTGGTGAGTGTTGATGGTGGTGAGTGTTGATGGTGGTGAGTGTTGATGGTGGTGAGTGTTGATGGTGGTGAGTGTTGATGGTGGTGAGTGTTGATGGTGGTGAGTGTTGAGGATGGTGAGTGTTGGTGGTGAGTGTTGAGGATGGTGAGTGTTGATGGTGGTGAGTGTTGATGGTGGTGAGTGTTGAGGATGGTGGTGAGTGTTGGTGATGGTGGTGAGTGTTGGTGGTGGTGAGTGTTGATGGTGGTGAGTGTTGATGGTGGTGAGTGTTGATGGTGAGTGTTGATGGTAAGTGTTGATGGTGGTGAGTGTTGGTGGTGAGTGTTGAGGATGGTGAGTGTTGATGGTGGTGAGTGTTGATGGTGGTGAGTGTTGATGGTGGTGAGTGTTGATGGTGGTGAGTGTTGAGGATGGTGGTGAGTGTTGGTGGTGGTGAGTGTTGATGGTGAGTGTTGATGGTGGTGAGTGTTGAGGATGGTGAGTGTTGATGGTGGTGAGTGTTGATGGTGGTGAGTGTTGAGGATGGTGGTGAGTGTTGGTGGTGGTGAGTTTTGATGGTGAGTGTTGATGGTGGTGAGTGTTGAGGATGGTGAGGAGTGTTGATGGTGGTGAGTGTTGATGGTGGTGAGTGTTGATGGTGGTGAGTGTTGACGGTGGTGAGTGTTGACGGTGAGTGTTGATGGTGGCGAGTGTTGATGGTGGTGAGTGTTGATGGTGGTGCGTGTTGAGGATGGTGGTGAGTGTTGACGGTGGTGAGTGTTGACGGTGGTGAGTGTTGACGGTGGTGAGTGTTGACGGTGGTGAGTGTTGATGGTGGTGAGTGTTGACGGTGGTGAGTGTTGACGGTGGTGAGTGTTGACGGTGGTGAGTGTTGAGGATGGTGAGTGTTGATGGTGGTGAGTGTTGATGGTGGTGAGTGTTGATGGTGGTGAGTGTTGAGGATGGTGGTGAGTGTTGGTGGTGGTGAGTGTTGATGGTGAGTGTTGATGGTGGTGAGTGTTGAGGATGGTGAGGAGTGTTGATGGTGGTGAGTGTTGATGGTGGTGAGTGTTGACGGTGGTGAGTGTTGACAGTGGTGAGTGTTGACAGTGGTGAGTGTTGATGGTGAGTGTTGATGGTGGTGAGTGTTGATGGTGGTGAGTGTTGATGGTGGTGCGTGTTGAGGATGGTGGTGAGTGTTGACGGTGGTGAGTGTTGATGGTGGTGAGTGTTGAGGATGGTGGTGAGTGTTGGTGGTGGTGAGTGTTGACGGTGGTGAGTGTTGACGGTGGTGAGTGTTGACGGTGGTGAGTGTTGACGGTGGTGAGTGTTGAGGATGGTGAGTGTTGATGGTGGTGAGTGTTGATGGTGGTGAGTGTTGATGGTGGTGAGTGTTGAGGATGGTGGTGAGTGTTGGTGGTGGTGGTGAGTGCTGTGGGAGTGGTAGTGAACTCACCGCGGTAGTAGCCGTAGTGCTTGAGATGCTGCCGCATGAAGCTCTCATAGGCGTCCTCATAGTGCTGCTCTCCCGGCACAGACACAAACAAAGGTCCCCGTGTAGCTTCTGACAGACGACAGTACGTACTGCGGCAAGTGCTGCAGGCGAGTAGCTGGCACTGTGCGCGACGAGGAGGCGGTGTGGCCAGCACCACGCCCGGCTTGGTGCAGATTTACGGCTGAGTCGATGTAGGGAAGGGAGGTCCATGACCGGTTTAGATATTGGTCATTGATGTTGGCTGTGAGCGGGAAATTTATCTCGGATCGACGGGTCGCTAGCGCAGCGGGCTCACGGCCGCGCCACCGCTCCCCGCACAACACCGCCCGGACCTCCTCGCCCAGGGGATCTTCAGTCTCAAGTCTCGTTCCGGAGGGTCTTGCCAAGTTTTGAGCCAATTCCAATTCCGTTTTGTGGGATTCTGGGAGGAAACTGGAGACTCCGGAGGAAACCCACAGAGAACAGAGATATAACACACACACTCCACACAGCACAGAAATATAACACATACACACACTCAACACAGCACAGAGATATAACACACACACACACTCTACACAGCACAGAGATATAACACACACACACACTCTACACAGCACAGAGATATAAC